CTCAGGAAGTCAAGACTGGGATGATCATGGTTGAGGCAAAAAGTCAATTAGATGACACCATCTTGCCTAGGCATGGTGGTGTACACTTGTAATCCCAGCTGTTTGGAAGGCATAGGTAGGAGGAGCTCAGTCAGAGGCAAAAAGCAAGACTCTATTTGAAAAATAACCTAAAACATGCAAAGGGCTGGAGGTGTGGCTCAAGTGGTAGATAGAGCACCCTGCCTAGCAAGTGCAAGGCCTTGAGTAAATCCCAGTACCACCAAAAAAGAGAAAGTGACGTGGGCTGGGCACGATGGATGCAAGTCTGTAGTGCAAGCACCCGGGACATAGAGGAAGGAGGGCAGGAGGATTGCGAGTTAAGGCCAGTTTGAGCTATAGAGTAAGCTCCTGTCTCCAACAAATAAATGACTAAAAATGAATGAACAAAGAGTAAAAGTGACGTGGGGCTGGAGGAAGACGTGAGACTTGGGGAGAATTGTCTGAAACCCAGTTTAGTGTCGTATTTCGGGAGCTCCATGCTGGCTGGTCACACTGGGTACATTCTTTTCAGAAGAGTAACCGTGGCAAAGAAATCTAAGTCCAATGGGACTGTTACAGAGCCTAATGGGATTCACTACTGATATTAATACAGTCCATAGGAATCTCCCTGAGGTGTTCTGGAGACGCTGCTCTCTTGAGTTCTTGTGAGAACTTTTAAAACTAGTCCTGGGTTCAATTATTGACGTGAGCCTAAAAACTGAGTTTAAGATACATGATAAGTATTAAAACTTGGCAGTCAAAAATGAAATTATGACATTCTGTTCCTACATTCACTGGGAAATAAACGTGATAAAAGAAAGCCTACATTTACGTGAAGATAAAAAGATAGGCTTTAATAAAAGAAAATGTGATTCCTTTTTAAAATCCAAAAAGAAACCAGCAACTGCATAGTTATGGAATGGGCTTCATAGTAAATGTGCAAAAGATTGGATTAGAATGTAACAGGAGCTGGTGGAGTGGCTCAAGGGGTAGAGCACCTTGCCTGGCAAGCACGAGGTCCTGAATTCAAACCCCAGTACTCCAAAAGAAGTGTATGATGTGGGGGAGAGAATTTAACAGTTAAAGGAGCCAATCAAAACTTCAAGTTCTAGCAAGAGAGAGAACGGCCAAAGGAAGAAGAGCCATCTTTGCTTCCCAGGCACAGGTCAGACTGTGGTGTCCAGTTCTGCTGTGTCAGACAGACTCCATGGCACAGAAACTGTGGCTGAAAGATCTGGGAATAAATGCTTAGAAAATGGCTTTTGAAGGACATTGTTCCAACAAGCACTTACTGAGTGCCTACTATGTGATACGCACTGTTGTGGTTATTAGTGAACAAAGCAGGTGAAAGTCTTTCTACTAATGCAATTTACATTTAAGGGAGAAGTTAGCAGAAGGTAGGAAAAAATGGTGCAGTAAGTAATGATATCTGCAGGGAAGTCCATGAAGGCAGAGGACTGACGGGAAGGGCACGATCGTGCAGCTGGAGTTTAGGGACTGTGTCATGTGAATGTCGCCAGGAAGTGTGCTCTGGGGAGAGGATGAGCAAGTGCAGAGACACTGAGGCTGATGTGCTTGGCACGGGAAAGTTTTAGAGCAGGAGAAGCGTGAGCACAGAGATGCATAGGAGAGGCAGTCATGGTGACTGGGGAAGCAGTGGCACAATTTAGGACCTTCTAGACTGTTGTGTGGACTTTGGCTTTCACTCTAAGTAGTGACTGTAGAGTGTGGCAAGGCTAGTTAGGAAGCTGCTGTGCTATCCAAGTAAAAGCAATGTTGACCAGGTGGGGTATGAGCAGTGGGGGTGGTGAGAATGGCTGGGTTCCAGGCATCTTTGGAAGGTGAGACAACTGGATATCCTAAGGGTAGGAGGAGATGATGACCTTGGCTTGGAAAAATGGAATTGTCACTGACTGATGGAGTTGGTAAGAATATGAGTGGATGTTTAAAGGGCAGGAGTGGGCATCTCAGCGGCGACGTTAGGCTGTTACTACTCATTTCATCATACAAGCCTGCAGTGACAGCAGAGGTAAGACAGAAGTACATGCTTGAGAACTAGCAAATCCATATCGACTGCTGCAAATTGTGTGAGGTTAGAAGAGATCACCAGGGAAGAGGGAGTGAAGAAAGAAGGGTTGGTTACCATGTCTTCTGGATTTCTCTTTTCTTGCTAAAATAGAAGTGAATTATCCATTTGGTGGGGGGTGGGATTGTGGTACTGGGGTTTGAGCTCAGGGCCTCATGCTTGCTAGGCACAGGCTGTACCAGTTGAGCCACTTCACCAGTTTTGAGTGAAGATGAGGGATGGAGGTTTGAGGATAGGAAGGTCTGACACTCAGCTGGGAATGGAGAGTAAGGAGTCGGGGAGACAGTAGGTTTGCTGGCAGCATGAGTGGCTCCCTAGAAATTGTGACCCAATGGCTAGGGCGGTGCTAAACTTGGGTTATAGTTCCAAAGGTTAGAATGGAATTACTGGCAGGAAATGCTATAGGTGTTTTTTTTTTTAGCTCACTCTGTGAAGGAACTTGCTGAGGATTAGTTGTCTAAACCAGAACATTCTGTTGGAAGTGTCCACTCTGGAAAGCAAGGCTGAGATTAAACTATTGAGAACGGTCTCAACCAGGTGCTCCGCAGAATTTTTCAGACCGGGCAGGGCTCACACATCAAGCTAAGAAGTGGTGGCCAGTTACACCAAGCTCCCACTTTCCAGGGCTGCTGTTCTGACAGTTAAATGAGTTTACGGAGAGAAGGCATGTGGCATGTCACACATCTTCAGGATGAGTTATATCAGCAGCACCTGAGCTGGCCCGAGCTGAAGCTGAGAAAGCTCTCCTCAGATAGGAGCTCTCTGTTCACCTGGGCAAACCCCATGGCACCCAGCCCTATGCCCTCAGTAGTCAGCCTGGGAAGGAATGGAGGCCTCCATCTTGCAAGCATGCAAAGAAGGGACTATCATTCGTTTTGTGTTCTTTCCCTCTTTTGTGGTTTCTTCTTCACTGAGTCTTAGATGCCAGTTTCTCTCTCCCACAGCACTACCATCACTCCAGCTCACCAGTGCTTATCCTAAAAGTGTGGGCTCTTCAATAGTGTTAGAATTCTCTCTCCCAGGATCATATGGACCACAATGGCATCTATTTTCATTTCCTGTTCTAATGTTTTCCTGTGCTGCCCTGGGTTTTTTTTTAATGGGCTCTTAGATTTCAGTTGGTGGACTAGGGGCCTGGCTCAAGTAGTACAGTACCTGCTTCTCAAGTGCCATGCCCAAAAATATCAGTTGGCTCTCACTGTGATTGGTGTAGTGCCATAGAGACATCTTTTGAATGAAGAAATCTAATAAATTTCTACCTGGTGTCTGAGAATAAAGATGGTACAGTGTATGCTTTATGCCAAGAAACAGCGGGTTATCGCATAGCAGGGAGACTGGGCAGGGGAGGGGGTGAGGGGCCATGAGTCTCAGTCCTCAGCAAGGTGCTTGCTTTTCTCCCCTTATCTTTGGAGGATCTCAGTTGTGGAACAGACTGGCAGTTTATGAGGTGAAGAAATCTGGCAAGAAAAAGAGTTCTGGATCTGCCAGTGTTGTGACGGGGACTGGTCACTGAGCAATCAACGGTCTCAGGCAAAGGCTGGGAGAGAGGACGAGGCTCAACTGGGAGGAGAGGGTTCAGGGTGAAGAGGCCACAGCCACCAGCAAGCAGTGTGGCACAGGCTGTCTTACAGAGCTGCAGGCCTCATCCCCAAGACTCGGCTTTGGCCAGTTTCATCTAGGCTCCCACCTGCTTCCCTCCTCAGAGGATACCTCAGACATGCTTTATTACCAAAGAAATTTTGAGACAGAAGTTAAAGCCAAATTCTTTGCCAGTCAGTGCTCTACTTTGTGAACCATCTCATAAACAGAGGTTGTGTGAAGGCTTTCATTGTCCTGTCATGGAAGTAAGCCACACTGAAGTAAGGTATATACCAAAGTAGGGCTTTTTTTTTTTTTTTGGTGGTGAGGATGGAATCCAGGACCCTGCACATGCTAGACAGTGGCTTCACCACTGAGTCATACCCCTAGCTCTGTCACCCCTCTTCTTAACAAGTATGGTGGTGGGCCGATTGCTCTACCTACATGGAATTGTGACGGACTCAGACTGTTCTCCTGAGGTTGGCTCCGGATGTAAAAATTATGACCACTGGTGGTTCAAAAACAGCTGCCTATGAGAAGGCTCTGGTGTGTTGCTGGAAAGCTGACATTTTTCTCACCAGTCATTTTTATGTTCTTACGTACTGTTACTTAACTGTTTCAAAACCAAAGGCTTTTGTGATTGTGCCACACAATCTGGCCTGATTACTGTGACCCTGGGGAGAAACATTTGGGTCCCATTTCCAGACCAGAGACTCAGGGATGAAGCCTGGAATCTGATTGTTTTGGACACCAGTGTTTTGAGTTCCTGTTGCTATCTAGAGTGTTACCATTGCTGTCTTCCTAGACATCGCTGGTCAGTTTTTATACCTCCTACTTCGTTCTGTCATCACTTGTTACCAGGCAGACTTAACATCAGATGCCATATGCAGCTCCATTGCTTAGCCAGGCTTCTTCCTCAGAGGAATACTGGTACTTGGGGTTGCTGCTGACTCGTGTGACCAGCAGGAGCAGTACCGTGCACTTGTTTCTTTCTCTCAAATCCTGGGGGTGGGGTGAGGGCTGAGGCTGGCTTGTGTGGCAGGTTTCACAGGTGATGCACTTTGTGGTGCTGGGCTAGAATCCAGGGCCGTGGGCATGTGAGGCAGGTACTTTGCCACACCCCCAGTCCTCCACAGGTGCTTTTTGTGGAGATTTAAAGATCTAATTTGCTCTAACATGAGTGTTTGTGTATTTTGGATGGCTTTGATACTCTGTGATTTTGTATTTATAGCAACTTGAGATAGAATACTTACAAACATCTTTAATGAATAAAGTAATTTTAATTAACTGTTAACATCATAATTTGATTTTCTCACAGGTGTCCTCTTTAAGAAATGAAAAGCGAGGCTCGTCCTATCTTATCTCTGCCCCAGAGGGTGGCACAGTGGAATTAGTCGGCCAGCAATCTCAGGGCACTGGAGCCTATTACTTAGAAACCTACTTAAAAAAGAAGCGAGTGTGCTGAGCTGAGTGTTCTCACCATCACCTCCTCTGGTTCTCTGCAGCATCTCTGCAGTTCATCGCTGCCTTAACTTCACTCAGACTAGCCATATCCTTTCAATACGGGTTTCTAGTTTCCCAGAAGGAACTGTGTCATGCAGCAGGCAGAACTGCCAAATAAAAAACAAAGTAGCAATAAGAGACATCACCTGAGGACATTTTCCACTAGAATTAGATTTGTCTTAATTCATGTGATATTAACTTACAGTCCACTGGAGAAACATTCTAATATTCCTTGTTTTAGAACTGGGAACAGTTTTCACATCACATACAGAAGTTTGAAGCAATAAATGGGAAACAGTCTTTGTTTCCTTAGCCTTAGAATGAGTTTCTTATAAGCAGATGTGCACTGTAACTTGCTTTCCCTAGCAGTAATCTCATTTACAGAGTTTTAGGACCTTTCGTAGAACTATAAGGGTGCAAATACCAAATGTGGTTGTTAGAAATGCTATGAAGATGCTCTTCAAGCAAACTTCGTGATTCTATCCACACCAGCCATGCAGTATCAAACCCAACTGTAAAATGATGGTCACGTCCCAGGTACACACTTTGGTAGATGCTTGACTGCTGTCATTTGCCGTTTCTATTTTTTATGAAAAACACAAGATGTTTTGGAAAAGTAACCGGTGATCTAATACAAAGGTTGGCAAAGTACACCCTAGGGCCTGCCACCTATCTTTGTGCTGCCTGCAAGCTAAGAGTGATGTTTACATTTTTAAATGGCTGGGGGGAAGACTTATGACATAAAACTTACATGAAATTCAAATTTCAGTATCCACAAAATTTTTATTGGACCACAGCCAATCCCACTCATTTCCATATTGTCTATAGCTGCTTTTCTGCTACAGTGGGAACTAAGTAGATTTGACAGAGACCTGATAGCCTGCAAAGCCTAAAATATTTTCTCTCTGGCCCTGCATAGAGAAAGTGTCCTGACGCCTGGTCAAATGGCAGTAATTTCCCATTCCTTTTATTTGAGCTAAAGAAGGACCTATACCCTCTGAGACAGGCTTACACATGGCAAGGAACAAGGGTTTCTGTGCCTCATTTCACAGCAGAAACTAGCGATCCAATTACTACACTGGGCCATTTTGATCACCAAATGCCCTACTTCCACAATATGGTCATTGTCAATACTTCACTTTGTGAAGAAGTCTGTTGGAGATAGTGTTTATAACCATGATGAGCTAGCTACACCTCACTCTTTGGTTTATCTTGGTACATTACTTGGTAGTGTGTTCGGGTGAAAACATTAGCTCTTTTATCCACTTTACTCTCAAAGAACTTTTGTCTTTGTCAGTGTAACTTTTGACATCACCATTTTCTGAAGATCTTGGTGTTGTAAGTGCATGAGAAGCCTTTTGCCATTTAGAGATTTCTAAGTTTGTTTCTTGTTATGAGACCGTAATTGACAGGAGTTTGGGATTTCAATGATCCTAATTTTTAGGATCAGATCATTCAGATATCTTGTCAGTTTGACTTAAGTGTTTTTTTTGAGTATGATGCAAATCTCTTACCTTTAATTATGAAGTCTAGAACTGGTACAAATGTACTCTTTGTAAAGAATTTTACTTGGTCTAATTTATTGCATATACTAGGTTCGTTGACAAAATGACAGCTAGAAAGTTAAGCTAAAATAATTCTTAAGACGAATACTACCTATAAATATCCCATCAGGCATCCGTTACACAGCAGGGGACGATGGCTTCTCCATGCCCTGCACCTCTTCCCATTTTTCTGTCACATTTAGTCTCTGTGGCCCTTAGCTGCACCTGTACTACAGTGCAAACAGAAGAAGGGGAAGATGGTGAATTTTACATCAAAGCTACAAAGAGAAAGCAGGAAGAGGCTGAAAGGAACTAAAGCAAAGATGTTTTGGATTATAGCACGTTGATTTTCCAACCATACTGGCCTGTGTCCCATTATCATTGGACACCAGAGAAGTACAAATCAAGTTGTGTTAGTAGCAAAGACTATTATCAGCCCCTCCCCTTAAAAATCTATACTGTTATTTTTCTATGTAAGTGAATTGTATGAAATGCTTTGAAAATGAAAACTTAATATTAAAAGGCATATGCATGTAAAGTCTTTAGTATATTTATTTGTATAAAGAGTAAACAAAGTGCATATAGATGACCACAGGTTTGGGACTTTGGGGATATAGGGCTACTGAATGAATTTACATGACAAGTTTACTGTTGCCATTAAGCAACCCTGAACTCTTTTGGAGGGCTCAAAAGGTGAAAAGATACCAGATAAGTACTAGATAGCATAAACAAAGTTTTTCAGATTCTTAGTCAAAACAACCTTATGGTTCATGATCAATCAGAGACTAAACATTTTATCTTGTTCTTTTGTTTGTTTCTGTTTGAGACGGGGTCTTGCTATGTAGCCAAGGATGGCCTGGAACTCACTATGCAGCCCAGGCTGGCCTCAAATTCTTAATCCTCCTGCCTTAGCCTCCTGAGTGCTAGGATTACAAGAGTGTGCCACCATGTCAGGCAGAAACTAACCATTTTTGATTACCCAGCTTCTTCCAAGCAATCTGAATACGGTCTAGTGGAGCCTGAATTCCAGAGTGCCTCAGGGTATTTTCTCAAGTTTTGCACCACAAGCTGGCGGTCAAAACAGTGATCGACCCATGTAGACGGTGGTAAGCATTGAAACACTCTAAGAACAGTGCAACATATGGCATATATTGTTTGCAGACAGCATCCAAACCCAAAGCTAGAACAGCTTGCCCCAAAGTGGTAGTTATAAAGGGGTATGCATTGACGGTCCTTGAAAGCACATGTGGTAGCATCCAGGCTCTGGGGGGTGCAGGAGAGGGGGGGGTCCCGTCTGGTGAGACTGCCTAGGAAAGCACTGGCACAGACTCAGTACTCAAGAAGTGACATGCATCAGGGTGTCTATCTCATTACTGTCCCCTGTGAAGAACCAGTTTGTTCAACAGTGGCTGCCATGGTCAGCCAAGGAATAGCGGCTGAGTCACTGGACTAGTTGCTTGAAGTTTTAGTCCTACTGGTGACAGAGTACACTCACTTTTGACTAGAAATAATAGCAGACTAACTGGTATCTAATATGTTAAGAATTCGGGGTATAGACATTGACATGAGTGAATATCAGCTAAGTCCACCAATTTTTAGCTAAGATAAGTGTGCCAGAAAAACACTTGCGATCATCTGGCAGCTGGGAAGAGCAACCATCCAGACATTACTGGGGTCAGTTTCTCTTATTTTGTTATGCAATTACGACTGTAAATGAGCTTGATGAAATGGTGGTACAGTCTTGCCAAAAGGAGGAGCGCTTAAGTGCTTTTAGTATTTTGGCTGTCATTATTTATCACTAAATTTAAGAGTAGCCAGATTTAAAGAGGAAGTTTCATACACGTTAAGCACCAGTGTGCCTGATACATGTGTATGTACTCAAGGATTTGCTAAGTGACTTTTTTAGAAAAAAACAAACTCCATAATTTTTTTAAATGGCTTGGGTATTCGTTGAGGAAGGATAACTTGATAAACAGTGGGATTTAACAGTTTCTCATGCTTCTTATTTTAAAAGTGCTTCAAATCCTTCAATAAGGTTCTGAAAGGTTGTCCGATTAGATGGTTGGAGTTCCCAGCATTTTCTCATAAGTTGATAAACCTGTAAAAAATAAAAGCAAAACAGTAATAACAGTAAAAATGTCAGATTTGGTAGTTTTAAAAAATGACAAACATCAGATGTAAAAAAATAATTTTGGAAATGTAGGGAAATTACTTTTTCTTAGTAAGATTCAAAAGCAAGAGTATTTGAACAATTTAAAAAACAGAAAACATGACATAACTACAATTTATAAATAGTATGATTACCATATGAGAAGCTCATAGGTTGACTGACCTTCAACAAAACCCAGGTCACTATAACCCAGTGAAAGGGGGCCTGCAAACCTCATGTTAGACTCCATCTCACCACAGTGGCCACCTCACCCTTTGACTCATACTGCTCATGAGTATGAAGGCTCAGCTCACTTTAGAATATGGAAGACTGAAAAAATACTGTATATGCTATTAATAAGTGGGATAAGTTTACACACAAAAATGCAAATATATGTGTTTTTCACAATAAGCCTTTGCCCAAATGTTCCTCTGGGGCAGGCAGTGGATAAACATGGAGCCTCCTGGAGAGAACCCTTGCTTTGAACATCTATCATCTGCCCCAAGGATCATTTCTCAAATGTCTTACCTGAACTCAGCTTCAGAAAACTATTTTAAAAGAATTTTCTACTCCGTCTCCTCACTCCCTGCCTACCACCCCTTGTGCTGGAGAACTCAAACTGTGAACACCTAATAAAAAGTGGGTTTGACTGCTGAGAAGGGGGTCATTAGTACCTCATCGGGACAGTTGCGTGGACATGGCAGGCGTTTTCCTTCTTTCAATGCATTCACAAGTCGTGTTACTGTCATCTGGCCATGAGTTGGGCCAATCATTTTTAGGAACAACTATGTAAAACAAAACCAAACAAAATGTTTTACTTTGTACATATCTGTATAAAAACCAGGCCAATTAAGGTGGAATTTCTAGAATTAATGGGAAATTAAAGCAACAAAACTCTTTTTTCCTTAGTAACTTTAAATAAAAATCCAAAATCTTAAGTAGCTCTCAATGACCAGTGTGCAATCGGTATCTCAACCACTTCTATTCTGTGAAAATGATCTCCTTTAGGAATAAGGGAGGCACAAACAAGGCTCCACCCAATGCTGTCACACTTAACTCACTCATCCCCCTCATCTCATACAGATAAGACCCTGGAAAGCTGGATCATCATACAAAACTTTGGGCTCCTTGTGAAGCCAAAACTTGAGAGACTTTGTCAAGTAACAAACCACGTTATAAAGTGACCTTCCCTTTTCCATATAATACACAGAGCCATTACATCTCAAAGCAAAACTTAACAAAGCAGAGGACTGGACACATTTTAATTGGGTCTGGATTTAGACAGACAAGTTAAGACTTACAGCCATTGGGCTTGAATCTGAATCACAGTAAGTAAGCAGTTCATGCAGGGTCACGCCAAAAGACCAAACGTCAGAGGCAATATAAAATTTACACTGTATTAAACATTCTGGAGCGTACCTGAAAAAAAGCAGAAGAAAACCTTCATTTCCTGGGAGAGGGACTCCAACAAACATCAGCTCAGAAGAATCATCTCTTTGGTCCTTAGAATTTAATATTCAAGACATCTAAGTGTCCTATGTATTAATCACAATTGTGCTGTTATGGTGCACACCTGACAGAGCAGTAGCCATTGTAGGCTCTCAGGCACATGTTAAGACACACGTACAAAGACAAGTCTGTGTTCTTTGTGTGGAGGAGGTAGAGGAGGTTCATGAAGACCACCCGAGCTTGGATTCCTGCAAGCTCCTGAGTCAGCAGCAACCTCACTGCCTATCCTTTCTAGTATCACCTGTTTTGGTGAATGGTGCCTAGTTGCCCAAGCCAGGTGTCAAGACATTCCACATCTAGTTTCCTAAGCAAGCTGTAGTCCTACTCACCTCCCACTATCCTAACCACTGTCCTAGTCCATGCAGTCACTAGCTCTTGTCTGGTTTGAACTCAGGGCTTAATGCTTATAAAACAGGTGCTCTGCTACTGGAGCCACACCTCCAGTCCATTTTGCTCTGGTTATTTTGGAGATGAGATCTTGACAACTATTTGCCCAGGCTGGCCTCAAGCCGTGAGCCTCTTGATCTCAGCCTCCCAAGTAGCAAGGATTACATGTATAAGCCACCAGCACCCTGCTCATGGTGATCTTTTCAAAACAAAACTTCAGTCCTTCAACCCTCCAATCTAATCCTACTGCTCTTGGGATGAAGTCTTACCTCCCAAACTGAGCTTCCTGGACTCTGACTCAGTCACCCCCTGCATAGCTCCTGCCACTTCATAATTCGTGAATACTGATTTTCAGTTCCTGTCTCATTCCTGTTAGCCATACATGCTGCCTTCCAATCATCTCTACAAACCACCACACATCTTTTCAGCTTTCATCCAAACATGCAGGACTTCCAGAAAACCATGCCCAAGTCCTTCTATGCTCCTGTTCCATAAGATTGGCTGTCTCACTCTTAAATTCCGAACTCAAGATGGCTTGCTTGGTCACATCTCTAGTACTTGGCACAAAGGCCTTGACATTTTTTGTTTTACATGAACAAAGGAAGATTTGGGCTCTACAGGAGGGAGAGATCTGTTTGTGTCTGTGTAGGAGGCACCAGGGGTGCTGATCAGTTTTACAGAGGGTGGAGAGTGCTGCAGGCTGAGATGGGGTTGGGGTAACCAGGATGAGTGACAATTCATGAAAGATGCCCAAGTCTCTATGAGTTTGCTCTGCTCCAGATTTCTCTGACTGTCCGATGCCCACACTGTCCTGGTATGGATGTGTTGCTCAAAGCAGTGAGAACTGGCTAGAGATGCTAAGCTGGTGGTCTGCCTTTCCCATTCCTGGGGAGATGGTACCACTGAAGCCCAGGTATTTGTGTGGGCTGCTTTCAGTGAAATAGCCTGAATGAACTCTCCTGCTCCTTTCTCACATAGGACCAGGCCAGGGGAATGACGGCCATTAGCATAGCCAGAAAGAACCTAGGAAAACAGGGTAAGCCTAGGAAGCACTGCTGAAATCTAGCTGCTGGATTCAGTTACCAAAACACAGGGCTGTCCCGGTCGTCCTTGACTGTGTAGTACTCCTTGTCAGTTTCAATTGCTTTGGTTAAGCCAAAGTCTCCAATTTTCACTTGGTGTTCACTTTCGACAAGCACATTTCTTGCTGCTAGGTCCCGGTGAACATACTGCCGAGAACCCAAATAGTCCATTCCCTAGGAGAGAAGTAGAGGCTAAGTACACTGCCAGAGTCACGCTGTAATTAAAAACAGGAACTCATTTCATTCACATACCACTGACAGTTTCTAAGAAATCCATATGAAAAATGCATTCACTTGTGCGTTAGAGGCTCATTTTTCATCCAAATAATGTGGAGCAACACAAACTACAAAGTCTCCCACTTGAGGTCTCAGTACAAAACATTCCTACGTAAGGCAGAATGCCAGCCTTCTCAATGTGTTTTTTTTGGTTTTTACCTTACAAATCTGAACGGCATATTTTAGCTGCTGTTTGAGGTTAATTTTGTTTTTATTCTTTGGAAGATATTCCTTCAGGCTTCCAGAAGGCAGAAATTCCATGATGAGCTTGATACCATTTCCTCCTGTTTAGAAAAAACTCACGTCAGTATGAGGTTGCCAAACAGGAAAAAGCAGAGGCAGAGAGAGAGAGAGACTGGTTGGGGGGGGACTGACATGGTGTCAGCTTTGCCTCTTAGGCACAGGCCCCAACTTCCTCAGGCTCCTATCTCAGGCATAACACTCCTGAGTACTCTGTAAACCACTAGACATGATAATTTTTTTAATTATAAGCCACATCCTTTCACTATCAGCATTAAAGGACATATATGAATGGTATGTCCTTGCAAATAAGATACAAGTACTGCTAACTAACTATTACTACTACTATTCAATCTATTTACAATCCTTGTTTAGATGCCCTGGTACTAACTAGATCAGAAGAATGGGGAGAAGGGGTAGAGGTAGGTATTCCTTCCATATGGCATCAGTATGGATGTTTGGATGGGTCCACCCATCCAAACCCCAGCATCAGTGTATGAGCCCCTGAAGAGACAAGGCTGAACCACCCCCTAGCTGGCAGTGAGACTTGGCAGCCTCCCCAGGGGACATGCAGCCACTGAGAGTTTTGACAGTGTACAGACTAGAAACCCTGACAGCTCCTAGGAGCTGATGGCCCAGGTAAGACTAAGGGCTGCCTGCCTAGCACTGGTCTTCATGGCCCAGATAGCTATTTCATCTAAATCAAACCTCATTTTGTACAACATACCATCTTCTGTGCAGATTCCTTTGTACTTCACAATGTTTTCATGATAGAGGTTTCTTAAGATTTCTATTTCCTTCTTCAGATCAGCTATGTGGTTACCTCCACTCTCAGGCTTCAGGGATTTGACGGCTACCTGCTCCCCTGTGTTGTCCCCCTCAGGGTCATACCTGCATAGCTCAACCTTCCCAAAGTGCCCCTGGAAGGAAAGATGTACATGCTGTTACCAGTGAAGCTGCTACCAGGGGGAGCAGCTTTCTGTACAGAGAGGGATGTAAGCAGAGGCCACTGTTAGGGTGTAACTTGCCTCTCCCAAGTCACGGATCCTCTTCAGGAAGCGTTTTTCAAAATGGGTGGGATCCACCTCGGTTGCTGGTTTTTTTTCTGAAACAATGTCTGGATCTAACAGAAGAAGAAAAAAAAACAGATTAAAAAGCAGGTGATGGTCAGGGATTACCACTTCAGTAAGTGGCAGGCTACTCTTCATTCCCCTGACTCCTGCTGCCCAACAGCTTTCCGTGGCCGTGACTGATCCTGGGTAGGACAGTGCAAGCAGTGCCTTACTCTGCTCTTCAAGCTTGTTAATGTCCCTCATGATAGCTCGGAAGAAGGGTCTCTGATTGGGGTCATAGTTCATGCAGCGGGTCATAAGATCAGCCAGTTCCTTGCAGGATGGTGTCACTGGCCTGCAGCGGCTTTCATAGAATCTCTCTTTCTGTAAAGAAGAGGGACACTTATAAGAAACCAAGGAGCCACCCTCAAACCTGACAGTCCCAGGTGGGAAGCAACTACTAATCCCTAATAATTCCCAACATCTCTGCTGAAAGGTAGATTTCCTCAACATGTAGTTTACAGTGACCTTTCCAGCATGGAGAAATCTCCATCCTGATACCAACAGAGGCCAAATTCAAGGAGGATAGCCAGCATATCCCAGTCCCAAGAAACTATGAGCCAGAGAAGGCAGGCAGCCTTTCTGGAATACAGTATGGCAGCTTATATAACTATCTTCATACTCTTCAACTGCTCTGACTTATTAACTCCAATTATTGAATGACTCAGAAATAAGTAAGATATGAGCCAAGAATTAATGTAGAAAGGTATTCCATGCAGAATTAGATAAAGCAGTGGAAATTTGAAAACAACATAAATGCCAATATATTAGAGCTAAACAATTAACTCATATTAAATTCATAAAAACTGTGAAGACTTAATCTCATAGGAAAGTACCAATTAAGTTTTAAAATCTAGGATGTATAACCATATCTAGCACAATCCCAACTTTGCTTACAAAGACAGATACAAACAGACTAGAAGACAACATGCTGCAGTACTAACAGTGGCCAGACATGACTTTTGTTTAAGTAGTGCTGGGGACGGAACCTAGGGCTTCAAGCATGTTAGGCAAATGCCCTACTGCTGAGCTCTATCCCTAGACTGACTTATTTGCTTTTCCAAGTTTTCCTTAACTATTTATTGTCTAAAAATTCAGAAATAAATAATTGATATCACTTTAAAAAATTATATGAAATCACTACACTCCAGTTTTTAACTTGTAGCTGGACCCCAGAGGTACAGAAGTAATTTATGGAATCCTTATTATCTTTATTTTAGCCCACTTCCCCTGCCACTTCCTAAGGTTCTCGAGGAAAGGCAAGACCTGTGCCTATTTTATGGTGAGTTCACAGCATTTATCTAGGACAATGCCTGATACACAGTAGGAACTGTGTATGCTGAATAACATGCACTTAAAATCTATGATAAAAAATACTGTAACAATCTGTGGACTAAGTACCTATCACTCGAGGTGCTTCCTTCTCTTCATAGTAAGTTGCTATTATTTATCCCCATTTTATGGACTATGAAACCAAGGTTCAGGGAAGTTAAATTTGTGAGAGCACACAGCAAACCTGTGGGGGAAGACTGAAGCCATGCCCCTCTCTTGCCACAATATGAGGCTTCCCAGTAACTCCTGGGAGGTCACGGGTACTGGTACCTAAGAGTCTCCCCCTCCTGATCCCCTGGAAAGCTCACCTCAATCAGCGTCTTGTCTTTCAGGGGGATCTCGCCATTGTAGCAGATTTCCCAGAGTGTGGTTCCAAAACTCCATTTGTCCGCAGCCACACTCAGGTTCTTGGCGTCTTCAACACACTCAGGAGCAATCCACGGGATGCGCTCTATGCACTCTGGAGAAAGACAACAGATGCACTCACAGACCCGCTTCTGGGATCACCTAGGGGACAAAGCAGTGTCACTGCAAGCCAGAGCTGCAGGCTACTGAAGGAGCTGTTTCCAGCAGCATTGCCAGTCATGAACCCAGCTGCATAAGTCCCACTGGAAGCTGTTAGACTGTAGCCCTCCAGGCCTTGCCCAAACACTTCTGATATAGTGGTCTGATTAGGGCTGTACACAGGTCCACTTACACAAGCTCCCTAGAAGGGTCGTGTGCAGCCCATCTTCTGAAGCCCTGGTATCTCAAAGAGCAGAGCACCCAGGGCAGGGCCGCCATGCTGGGTGTGGGGGCCTGTAAACAGTGGCTCAGGAAAGAAAAGTCAGGCGAGAGGAAGAAGCCAACATACAGAGAGGCAGACAGTTGCCTACATGCATCCTGTACACTTGGAAGCGTTAGTAAATTTTATGTTGGTTTCTTTCTTCTGGAGAAAGGATAGGGAATGAAAGACTGAAGAAGTCACATATCCCTTTACCCCCTGCATCCTCTGTGGCTGCTGTTTCTGGCTTCTAATCAAGACCAGAGCCAGCAATTCCAGCAGAGACCCCTTCCATGCCCTCTGGAATACTCTTGGCAAATGCTGTGCTCCCTACACAGCGGGCTCTTGGCTGCAGAAAAAAGCAGATAGCGCTCCTGAGCCCAGCATTCCAGGCTTAGGCCCACTTGACCTTCCCAGCCTTCTTCCATCCTTCCTGCCACAGCACATGCATGGGATGTGCCTCCGGTCCCTTGCAATAGCCCACCTTACTGACCTGCAAGGCCAGATGAAATCCAAATGCCTCCTGAACCACCCTCTGACCCCAGTTGGGCAATGTCTTTCTCCTCCAAATCCTCACAGCATTTTATAGGCATCTCTAGGTTCTCATGTTTCTGTTTATGTGAGGGGTGTCTGCCTCAGGAGCAGGGGCTGATTGACACATGATAATCAGCAAGCAGGTACTAAAGGCTAACTCTGATATTCCCTTCCAAGGAGTAGATGACTGGGGCCTCATTTGCAAGACTTATTTTTCATCCTGGTTTCCTTCTAAACTTGGTCCACTCTGACAAATTACTGAGCAAAATTCAATATGCTGAGTTGATCAAAACTTAATATTAAAGAAAGCAGAGGCTGTGACAGACCACCAGCACTAGGCCCTAGGGCATGCTGGCCCTCCCTGTGTGGCCTACCAGGGAAGGAGGCAGAGCATAACCTGTGCAGCGAGGGTTTCTGCTCTTCCCTCTCAGGGCTGCCTTTTCTTTTGGAATCCACTACTTAGCATAAACTAGTTCATACTGAGTATGTGAGACCACAATAATCACGCAATAAAAGTGCCTTCCAAACTGCCCACTAGCTACAGGGGAATTCCAGAAGGCTCACCCTCTCTTTCACCATCTCCTGGAGCTCGTGGTTCCCTCTGTGCTACCCTACCTGATCACAGCACTTCCAGCACAGAGACCAGACAGCCTTGGCTGGGGTGTCAGACACCACTTCCCCAGTGCCATGGCCCCACTCAAGGCACAGCAATAGCACTGTACACCTGCTGGCTGACTCCCTTTCTCATGGGAGGCCTAACCCAACCCAGGCCAGTCCCTTCTCACTACTGGCCAGATCCCTGGCATAGAGTGGGCAGTGGGAATGGGTGGGGAACATACCTTGCCTGGACAGCACAGACACAGGGATGCCAGGATCGCTGAGTTTGATGAATGGGCCTATCTCGCTGTCAATGCCGTCTCGGGCCAGGAGAAGGTTTTTAGTACACACATTTCCATGAACCAGGTCTTTATCCTCCTGAAAAATAAAAAAGGAACATGTGGCAAGGCCTATCTTCTCTGCCCACTTTTTGGTTTCCAACTCTGGCCCCTCAGATCTTCCTTCTCTCTCTGTTCCCAGTCACAGCCAGACCCCAACAGCCTGGCCCTCCCACCAATGAGATGTGTGACTCCTGTACATCCTATATCTCTCAGCTCCAGACTCAACAGTGAAATGGGGAAAACAGTGGAGCATACTTCACAGTCTTTGTGAAGAGTAAAGTGAAGAGAATCTGTAACATAGGAACAGCTGACCCTTAGTTAAGTACCCAACAAATCTTAGCTCTGGTGTATGCTGACAGTTTCCCTTAGTCACTCAGCAAGTTCTGCACTGTTTTTATTCTTACTATGCAATCAGTACAGTCAGTTACTCAACATATACTGTTTTCTTCTCAACAGGATTCGTAAGTGAGCCCCCAGAAAAGCCCCAAATTACCATTTTCACTAAGCACCAGGCACATCTGTATTCAGCCACAGAGTCCAGGTACATGGAACCACAGGACAGGGTCCCTCCTGCCTGCTAGCCAGCACCTCCTTCTTGCCACCCCCTATGAGGACATTCTGGTTTCTGGTGGGGACTACCTTGGCCATGAGAACATTCTTACCAAGTAACTCAGGGCACTGGCCAGCTGTTTGGCAACCTTGAACTTCCATGGTGTAGTGAGGACATCACTTTTCCGGTGCATGAAGATATCCAAGGGTCCTCCCTCCACAAACTCTTCCACCATGATATCTGCACAAAAACAGCCACATATGGAACCTTCCATTTGTCTGGGATGGTACTCCTTGTCCCCTTACAAAAACCCTCTTTAACAGATGGTTTCAACTTCACTATGTACAAACATCCTTAAGAGGTATAAATGGCAAAATGCTTCACAGTTGGACTAGCCTGGCTTCAACCCCAAGTTCTTCTGCCTCTGAGACCTTTCTGAGCCTCAGCAGTCCCAGCAAATACCTAAATCTCCCAAGGATCTGAGGGGGGCTAAATGTGACAAGACATGGACAGTCTTGGTCAAGTACCTAACACACAGAACAAGACCTCTGAGAACATCCACCATTGCTATTCTCACTGCAATACAAAGTTCAAGCTGCTCACTGACAAGACTTCCCTCTTAGCAGAACTCATGAATGAGCATGTGGAATAGTCCATACAACAGATTTCACATTAAGCAAACAACTTGAGGTCAAAAAAAATTCCTCTTCTTCTAACTTTATATATCAGGAATTCAAGGCCACTTAATCTGTTTCTAGCAGTTTCAGTCCAAAGACAGGTGAGCAGAAGTGGCTGAAGGTCAACCCTCAGCAGCTGGATGCCAAAGACATAACCTGCTCAAGGTTACAGGCAGTCAGTCTGCTTAATAAGTCAGCCCCACTGTTCAGGGCTCCCTTCTCCTGCCACTGTCCTGCTTGGGCTCCTGTCATTCTGAATCTCAGGCAACAGCCTTATCTTACCTCAGGCAACAGCCTTATCTTACCTCAGCCTCCCAGGTCTACCTCAGTGTGAGGCCCAGACTGGCCAGGAGGAAATATTAAAGAAATGAATGAGAACAAATAGGTTTTAGTTCCACAGCCACACAAATGATCTGCTGAGTACCTTCATTTCTTCAAATGCAAAAAGAAAGGCAAGAAATATGGGCATCGTGAAGGTGTCCAGGGTCTTCACGGCACCCACACTCCCCAGACATGGCCCACTGCTCCCTTCAAGAAAGAAGGTACTACTGACAAATGGATTAAGAAAATGTGGTATCTATACACAATGGAATTTTATGCAGCCATGAAGAAGAAAGAAATGTTATCATTCGCCGGTAAATGGATGGAATTGGAGAACATCATTCTGAGTGAGGTTAGCCTGGCCCAAAAGACCAAAAATCGTATGTTCTTCCTCATATGCGGACATTAGATCAAGGGCAAACACAACAAGGGGATTGGACTTTGGGCACATGATAAAAGCAAGAGCACACAAGGGAGGGGTGAGGATAGGTAAGACACCTAAAAAATTAGCTAGCATTTGTTGCCCTTAACGCAGAGAAACTAAAGCAGATACCTCAAAAGCATCTGAGGCCAATAGGAGAAGGGGACCAGAAACTAGAGAAAAGGTTAGATCAAAAAGAATTAACCTAGAAGGTAACACCCACGCACAGGAAATCAATGTGAGTCAATGCCCTGTATAGCTATCCTTATCTCAACCAGCAAAACCCCTTGTTCCTTCCTATTATTGCTTATACTCTCTCTTCAACAAAATTAGAGATAAGGGCAAAATAGTTTCTGCCGGGTATTGAGGGGGTGGGGGGAGAGGGAGGGGGCGGGATGGGTGGTAAGGGAGGGGGTGGGGGCAGGGGGGAGAAATGAACCAAGCCTTGTATGCACATATGAATAATAAAACAATTTAAAAATAAATAAATAAAACAATAGCAACAAAAAAAAAAGAAAGAAGGTACTTACTCTCCACGTCTCGGACACAAACACCATAAAGGTACACAATGTGTTTGTGGGAGACCTGTCTCATCATGCTGGCTGCCTCAAAGAAGGCCTGTGGGAGAAAAAATAAAGAAATGTCTAGGGCCAGCCTCCACTACTAGGGGAGGCTAGTCGTATCACCCCAGGCCCTGAAAACTCCCTCTGTCCTTGACTGTCCAGAGGCATGATCGTATGGCCTGGGATATGGGATTTATTTAGAAAATCCAACAGGATGCAAAGCAAAGCTGTTAGGACTATTTAGCCAACAACTTTCCCATTAGATACTCATGCCTATCTCTCTTCCTTTAAACTTCAGAAAACAAGTTTAGTACTATATTCGAATAAAAGAGGAGCCCAAATAGATCTCTGCCTCCAATTTGGCTTTGTCACTCTAAAGTCTGTGGGATCCTGTGAGTAAGTCATTTGACTCCTCCTTGGACTTTCATTTTCCAGACTGTGCCAACAGAAGCCCCAAACTCTATAGGGAACTCTGAGACCACCTGGCTTGTCCCAGTACTCAGTACCCCACAGGGTCCTCTAGCAGGACAGGGAAGAGGGAGAAAACAGAAGGTACATGGGGCCTCATCGGACCTCTTCTTTAAACCTCCTTAATTTCACACACAAGTTCTGCCTGAGACTGTACTGGAAAGAGAAATTCTGACAAAAGGCAAGTGAGAGAACCACTAGGCCAAAATGAGGGCAAAGGGTCTTCCCACTCCACTGCACTCCCCTAGATCCAGAAAAACGGGAGCACTTACCAAAGAAATGTCCCTGTGGCTGGGGTCTAAGACTTTGAGGATCACTTTTATTCTCTTCTCTTCAGCAGTTCCTTCATCATCCTTGTAATCCACCAGTGTCCCAGAGTAGATGTGTGTTCTCGTGCCTCTGCCAAGGTGTTCTCCCTAAGGGATGAAGCACAGGTGGGATGACCTCTCTCTGTAGCTGTGTGATGGCTGAGTTGGGCACTGAGTCCTTAAAGGGAACACTGAAGATGGATGGGATGGGGCCAAGGCAAAAAGTCCCAAAGCTCATGAAATTCAGAGCCTTACCCTCATCAGGTTTCCAGAGGAACAAAAGGCTATTTGGCCAAGCATAGTTGTGATAATTTCCTGGACTCCTGAAGACAGTCCTCCTACTCCCTAAACACCTCCTTGCTTCTTACCTCTGGGATGAGCCTACAGCCAGAAATCAATCCTAACCTATCACAGAATTTAAACGATGCCACCAATGGACAGCCATCTGAGCCTCATCCCAGGGCTCCAAAGCAACTCTGGTATCCCCTCCACTCTCAGGCTAGGAGATAGAGTGAAGGGGCTTATAACACCTCACTCTACTGCTGTGGTTCCTTTATCTTAGGAGCATTCTTCATCGTGCTCAATCTCTGCCCACTCTCATGAATAGAGATAGTGGCACCTACTTCCTAGGGTTGCTGTAAGAGTCAAATAAGGAAATAGACAGGAAGCCTCCTATACAGACTCTGGCAAGTGGTAGGTAGAAACCCATCTGTTGGGTCCATGTGTTCTGTTTTAAAGTCTTCTAGACCAGCAGTCATTCTCTCTCACACTGGAACCACTCATTCTCCCGTGTATCTGTCAGTATGCATGCACATGGGTACACATGCAAAGCTCTAGAAGCAGTGATACAAATTATACCTGCATTTGCCCTAGCAATCCCAAGCTAAGGGACTAGGCCCTCCGTTTCCTCACACGTGAAAGGAGACAACACTACCAGATGAACTGAGGAAGGACTAAATGAGACTGTCCACGAAAAGCCCTTAGCACAGAATGATCTATCTCTAAGGACCCTTTCCTGTTTGAATATTAACACTTTTGATTTTTAAATTCTTAATATTTGGAAATCAAAATGTGATTGATTCATGAATCTGAGGCAATATCAAACTGTTGACATTAGCCCCACAAACTTGTAAATCAAAAGGCCTATTCTATGATTCTTTGTAGATGCAGAAAATGGATTGTGGACAACACCTAGGGAATCATCCCTGTTCCCCACAGAAACCCACAGGACTGTTAATTGGGTATATTAATTTGCACAAATACCACCATTTGTCAACTGTCATAGCAGAATAGCCATATAGCCACTCTCTGCTGGATCCTGGCAAGCTCCTGTGACTATTAAAGCTGCATCTGTCACAAAGTGATTCGTCTGCGTTATGGGAAGCTATATTCCAAGAGCATCCCGTAAAAGCCATATGCTTTCAGAATAATTACTCTTCCCCAGAAGGGTGACTTATTCCAGTGGTCAGATCACAGCACCATGTTGTCAGGATCCCACAGCAACCCACACAAGCTCCTGATGTCTACTCCAGCTACTTCCATGCTGTTCTCTTGCCTCTGTGCAGTCACTTGCTGCTCACCCTCTAGGATTCTGTTTTGATGCCCTTCCCCCAGGAAGCCTTCTTTGTGCTCCCAAGACTAGGTCTTTGATACAACTGCATCCTGCTGTACTTAGCCACGTAAGGATTTGTCTCTTGATAATTACATAATGAAGACACAAAAATCTGCCTCCTCCTCTGGACTGTGAGCCTGCCAAGAGTACCAACTGCAGGTGGCATGTGTAAATGCTCATCGCTTTTTGCTAAATGGATACTGAAGGCATGAGGATGGTGGTCTGCTCACAAGCTCAAGGGCGGGTCCCAAGTTCTCTGTCAAGTTTTAGCCAGAAAGTAGTGACTTCAATGTTAGGATACAGCTCTGACACCAAAGGGACAGAGATCAGTAACAATGGGTCTTTAGTGAAGAAATCTGGATTCACCTAAAAAGGTAAACTAAGAAACAGACCCCATGCTTGCCACCTCCTTCCTTTCATCTCCTTCATAGTATCAAGCCCATGATTGTCCCTCCAATCCCTCCAATGTGCAACAATCCCTTTGAGACAGCGTATGGTCCTCCAGGGTGCTGGCATGCTGTCTGCATTGACACCCTCCCCACTACACTGCCACATCGGACTCCTATCCGAGGATGCTGGGGAGGAGCCACAGAACAGAAAGCAGGATTGGCACTGGGCTTCACGCCCTGAGCCAATGCCTAAGAGCAGTCCAGGCTCCCCTGAAAGGCTACTCCTTCTGCCCAGTCACTGCTCTCTCACAATGCAATGTCCCTCCATAGTAGGTAACCCCACACCCCAGCTAATCAATCTTCTTCAGGGACAAATGTCTCTGAGAATAACCATCAGCAAGGCTGGGCAGGATGGAAGTACTAGGTGAACTGCTATAACTTTGAAAGGGAAGTTTTCTTATTGTTTTCCCAGTAGGATCTCCCCAAACCCAGACTTTATTACCGCCCCCACAAAGTCCCCATGCTTCTCCCCTGTGGGAAGGTAGGACCAAGGCTGCACCCAGGTTCTGCAGTAATAACTCACTTGCACAATGTCCTTCTTGAGGATCCGATCAAAGCTCAACTGGCTCATGGGGTAGACAGGCTGCCATTCCTGGGCTTTCTTAGTGGCCACAAGCAGATTGGAGATTTCTGTGGAGAGGTTGGAAAAGTCTGAGTGTGCATGATACCGAAGGGTTAAGATCTCAGCCAATGTGTGCTATGCCACGGGGCTTACAGAACACATGGGTGTGCATTTGTTGGTTCAGTCGCTCACTGAACCACTACTGGGTACTTGATTCATGCCCTCCAGGAGTTCATGGGTTAAATAACAGAGCCATGATGAATCAAATAATCTGTCAATCAAGCAGAAAGTTATGATTTGTCCAGCTATTCTAAAGGACAGGCCTAAGGAGTTCCAAGGTTCACAAAGCAATACCTGTCCTGGTAAGAGTGTTCAGGAGGTCAGGCACAGTGGCTCACAACTATAATCCCTGCTACTCAGGAGGCTGAAATTGGGAGGCAAAAAAGTTTACAAGACCCCATCTCAAACAGAAAATCGAGGCATGGTGGTCTGTGCCTGCTATCTCAGCTATGCAGGAAGTGTAAATAGGAGGATCACGGTTCAGGCTGGTCCAGGCATAAATGCAAGACCCTATTAAAAAAAATATCTAAAGCATAAAGGGCTGAGGGCATTGCTGAAGTGGTAGAGTGGCTGCCTAGCAAGCAACACAAGGCCCTGAGTTCAACCCCCAGTATCACCAAAGTGGGGGTGGGGGGTGAGAGGGCAGAAGGAGAGAGGGAGGAGAAGAGGAGTGAAAAGGGAGCAAGGGAGATATGTCAGGGAAGGTTTCCCTAAAGAAATGAAATTTAAATCTAAAGATGGAAACTCCAAGAAGTCAGGGACTGTGTCTATCTTATTCTCTGCTCCACCTCATAACACCAGATACAGCAGGCACTCTTTTTGTTTGTTGTGTGGTGCTGAGGACTGAACCCAAGGCCTTGTGCATGCTAGGCAAGTGCTCTGTCCCGAGCTGCTACGCCCCAGCCCTCAACTAGTATTTCTTAAATGTATGAAAAACTGGAGGAGAGCCAAAAAAGAGTAACAGGAACCCTGTTAAGAAGGGAAGCACTGGCTTTGTGTGAGAAGAGGGGAAAGGTGACCTAGAAAAAGGATCCTGTCTAAATCTCTCTAGGCCCAGCAATACCAGTGATGAGAAGGCGCTTACCGAAAACTCCCTGAATGTGCAGATTGAGTGCATTATTCCCCAAATTCCACTGATCAAACACAAGCCCAACACATGACAAAGTCTGCTGGGCCAGGGTTGACACAGGTGGCTAACTGGGAATTTATAATCCACAAAAAATCACCTTTCCCACTATGATCTGTCATGAGCAACAAGGTAATGGTGTGGGAATAAGACCTTTCAGATTGGAACACAGTGAAGTGACAGTTCCCTGGGAACCTCAGCAGTCACTGAGCATGACATGTATTTCTTTTAGCTGAGGCAGGACCATGAGGGAAGTGACAGCTCACAGATGCTTTCCCCCTTTTGCTTTCCTGCACTAGAAGGCAGTAATGAGTATGGGGAGAATACACACCCATTCAAGTCCTGATTCTTGGATTTTGATGAATGAGGTTCTCAAAAGATCTCTAGGAATCATAAGACATGATCCATTGGAGGTCGTCCATGCATGCACTGGGAAGCAACAGTCACTGAGCACTGGATCCCCATGGATGCTGCATGACTCTAACACAGTCCCTCAAATCCTCACTATCCTTCAGGGTAGGGTTCTTTTCCCCCTTTGTATTTTAAGTTCATGTTTGCTGACTGCTTTTTCTGCCAGGCACTGTTCTAAAAGCTGTGCACATATTAACTCCTCTGCCCCCATGATGATCCTCACCCCTATTACAGATCAGAACACAGAGGCTCAGATAGGGAACAGCCTGTCCATGATGAGGCAGCTGATGAGCCCAGACACAGGAGTCACATGGAAGTCAGACACAGCTCTAGTCTCTTACCTTCTCGCAGCACAGCTGATCCTAGCGGGGGTATCAGAAACTGGCTTCTTTTTCCCAGAGTCTACTCCCTCCACTGTTTGCATCACTCCACCCTGTTCGCTGAGTACAACCTGATTCAAATAGGCAATGCGAGGCTGGTGCCAAACAAGGTCACTTGACTGGTGTCCTCAAGGTAGAGGGTGGCCAGCAGTGCCATTTGAGAAATTAGAGAGAGGATGGGAGAAGGATATCATGACTGATTGTCTGTATGCATACTCCAGGGCACATGGCACAAGGGTCCGGTGTGAGCAGAGAAGCCACTTAATCTCCATGAATGTTTCATTTGCCCTCGTAAGGTGGCTATGCAGGTCAGTAAGACAATGTATAAGAAGGCATGTCCCCAGTGCCTGCTGTGCAGTAAAATCTCCATTCCTGGCAGCCACTGTTAGTATGACCATTCTCCACCCTTGTTCTACAACCAGGGAGCCCATCCTTGCCCAGCAGCCTGCAAAAGTCCTCAGGGTCAGAGCTGATGGGTGTGGAACTCAGGCAGCACACCTGCCTGCACTGAGGAGGATGTGGGAGGATGTGGGAGGATGGGTGATAGGGCCTGGTGTGCTTTCCAGCACAGCCAGTCAGGCCTGGAGCTGGGACCTGGGTTGCACTACGGGAAGCAATAGGGGTTTGCTTAGCCATCATGCCCATTCTGAGGAGCTTCCTGCTTTTCTCTTTGCTTTTTGTTTATCCCATAAGGAATTAGTTTCTTGGTTGCATTTAACTGAGAAATCCAGATCAGGTGTCTCGCTTTTAGAACCCTTCGGTTAGAAGCAGAGGAGCTGAGTAAACCAGAATGACACTCTCACATCAAATTTTTGGGGTTTCACCACTTCTCTAATTTGCAGGTGGCAGAAGGAAGAAAGAGGGCTGTAAGGATCTACATGAGGAAGACTCACTTGCCCTCCTCTCCCTTCCTTCAGGGTAGAAGAGCTGTCCTTGCCTCAGAGTTAGGCTGTTGGCTGCACCTGCACCTCAGCAAAGACCATGTGATATAGAGAAAATCAACAGACAACATGGAGTCAGACAAAGTAAATCCCCACTCTTCTCCACCTATGATTTGGGCAGGTCTAATGGGGAGAGAGACATACCCTGGGTTGTTCTGAGGACTAAATGATTTTAAAATATAGAAGCCCTTCAAACTGTGTCTGGCAAACCATGAGCTTTACTAACACGGTAGCATCCATTATTATTTACTGCTATGGCTATAACTACTACTGATACCAGAAGCTGTGCAGCCTTGAACAAGTAACCAAATATCCCTCAATTTCCTCACTTCTACAGCAGCTATAACAAGCACTGTGCAGATGAAAGAAATTAAATACTCAGGTAAGCTGCCACTCAGTCATTGCTGCAGTGGTCACTTGACAGGCACTATTACTTGCTGTGTGCTGGGCTCTGAACTTCCCATGAATCAGAGTGGCGAGACCGTGAACCTGTTTTAAGAGTTCACAAGCAAGTCGAAAAGGCAGATACTAAACAGAGTTGGAGGAGTCTCAACAGAAACTATATGAGGGCAGGTCAATTCTGTTCCTGTGCTTTTCATAGCCACCAGCTCCAAAACCTGGTCTGTTAGGGGTACAAACTATGTCAGATACTTTCCTACAGGAACCCTGAAAGAAACTCCAGTCTTCCCTACTTCTGTGGATATCTGTCCTCCACTTCCTCATTCTTAACCAGAGACCCTAGGCAAGCCAAACTCATTTTTACTATCTGGGAGAACTTGTATGAGTAAATAGAATTGTTGGGCTTTAAGGTTTTAACATACTCCAAGGTCTCCCAGACAAGTGGCAGATGTGTTTCTACCTCTGTGGAACATCTTTGAGCATAGAAACAAAGACTGCAGTTATTCCCCAAGGTTGGCAGGAAACCCTATCTGATCAACACGAACCCAAGTCCTTCCTCTTTCATCACGTTCAGTGCTGAGACAAAAACATGATTTGTACATCAAGAACCCAGGCCCTAGGCTGGGTGTGTGGCTCAATGGGAAGCACTTACCTAGTACACATGAGGATGCAGGTTCCTTTCTGCCCTGGAATAGCTTGCTCTGCCCTGCCCACTTCTAGTGTGAAGACTCAGTGATAATTCCCTCATAAAAGCAAGATGGTCTCAGACAAAAGAGGCTCCTCAGAGCAAATGCCCTGCCCCTTCTTTGAGGCCTGACAATTTGAAGCAAGCGTTTGGCAATTGCAAGGTGGCATCTTGAGGTGGGGAAACAACAAACACCCAGTACCAAGGGATCCAGTATTCAGATTTGACCTGCAACACAAATCCTTCCTTGACCTTGACATTCAGTGATCCACTTCACTCTTCAGTTATCCTATGTATAAGTTGAGGCCCATGAACAGGTGATCGATCCCTCAACTGTCCTTCCACACTCATTCTGAGACCATGGATCCTCCTCTCAATTGGGTTTTAACTCCTGATATCAATCTCTCTTTCTCTCTCTCTCTCTCAATCTAAGGTCTTGTGCTAGGGGCAAGTACTCTACCACTTGAGCCATGCTCCTAGCCCTTTTTTGAATCATGATCCTCCTACTTATGTCCCCCACATGGGTGAAACGACAGGCAAGTGCCACAATGCCCAGCTTTTTGTTGTTGTTGCTGAGATGGAGTCTTGCTAACTTTTTGCCTGGCTTGGCATCAAAACTCAGTCCTCCCAATCTCTACCTCCCAGTAGTTGAGATAACAGACATAAGCCACCATCCCCATTACTCCTGATCCTTCTACGGCTCCTTCTGCATGCAAGATAAAGTGGCAGCCAAGACCTCCCAAGATGCAAAAACCTCCCTCTATCCCCTTAGTCTCACTTCCCCTTCTTTCTGCCTTCACCTTCCATTGTCCCTGATCTGGCCAGCTGCTGCACAAGCTCCTGGCTCTGCTGGACATGCCCCCACCTAGCTCACACCTCTTGCTCACAAACCCACACTCAGCTTAGGATCTGCCTCCTCAATGCAGCCCCCATGCCACGTGTCTCGAGGATTTTGGCCATCTCTTTCTTTTCGCCACCCCCCAAACTATAATATGTAAGTGTTGATTAAAATATCCATCATATACTGTGGTGGCCTCATTGACCAGTGATGTTTTATGCATTAGACTGGAAACCCTCAGAAAGCAGGGACTGGGTCTTAGGCATTCTGATTCTAAACATCTAACATAGTTCTTGGCCCACAGAAGATGTGACAGCAACATTTTTTCCTATAACAGATAAAGCAATGACGGGGGCCCTCAAACCATGCAATCTTAAAAAACAGAAACTATGCTTTTTACTAATCCTGAACATGAGTCTTTCTTTTTTTTTTTGGGTGGTACTGGGGTTTGAACTCAAGGCCTCATGCTGGCTAAGCAGGTACTGGACCACTTGAGCCACTCCACCAGACCCTTTTTGTGTTGGGTATTTTCGAGATAGGGTCTCGTGAACTATTTGCCCAGGCTGGCCTTGAACTGCAATCTTTCTAATCACTGCCTCCAAAGTATCCAGGATTACACACATGAGCCACAGCATCTGGAGTGAACATGATTCATTCTGTAGCCTACCTGAAATATCAAGAAAAGGTATACATCCTTTCTATTAGAAAAAAAAAATGCTGACACTTAAAGAATGAGATTTGAGTTAGAGAACAGACTTGAAACAAAACTCAAAGACAAAAATGCCTGGTTTTGTAGGAAGGTGCCACTTTCTTTAACCCAACCAGTATCTTTTGGTCCATCTAGTTTCAAAGCATCTCTGAAGGGCATATGGCATCTCTGAGTGCACACAGTGTGGCTTGGGTAGAGAGACAGACCTCGGGGCTTAGGCTGGCAGCAGCGTTTCAGCACAAAGCTGATGTTGTCTGTGCGCAGGATCTGCTTCTTGAGGTGGCTCATGAGTTCTCCCAAGCTGGGAAAGCTGCAGTCCGAGCCATGCAGTCGGTAGCTGCCCTTTTGAACCTCAATCTGAAAGTTCTTGAATTGCTTCTGGCCACCCAGCACCTGCCATTCAGAAAAACAACCAGATCCCATTTTTTAAAATGGGGTTAGGCAAGGTTAATGAAACTCTAGGTCATCTGTGTTCATCTAAAATTATTCAAAATTTAAAAACTCACTATCAATAGACAAACCAACCAACAAAAAAGTAAATAAAATGGAATCCAAGAGAAGGCACTGGTAAAGGGAGCTGACATTATAGCATGCACAACAGTTATCTCTACAGTATCATTTGGCTTTTGACCTGTAAGATGAAGTTCATGAAAATACCCACCTCATGGGATTGTTGCTATGGTTAAATGGCAAGGTATATTTTAAAATTCAGCACTTTATAAAAGCTAGCAAATATTATAAATGAAATAAGAATTACAATAGTGAAATTCATCCAGGAACTCCTTCATACTAAGCCCTTCCAAACATGAATCTATCTAAGAACTACTATGGGAGCTGGTGTTTGGCTGTCCATTCAGGTTCAGAGCTCTATGGTGCCACAGAAAAGAAGTATAAACAAGTTTCCTTCATGGGTTCTTTCTGTACAAAGGAAACTATTTTAGTGGTTACAATGAGGGCAAAGAAGACCTACTTATGGTATAAACTAGGACATGATAGTTAAAATCTGAATGGCTTGGTTACGTCACACGTACAATAGTCTAACATCACCTATTTCATATGGCGCTACAGGGCTTACCCAAGAACATGTATGCAAAGTGCTTAGCACTGGGCCTGGTGAGCTAAAATAAGCAGAAGGGTTAGTCATATCTGTGACTGTTCTTTTCCCTAGGAATCCTGATACCAGGTAGGCCATTACTCAACCACTGACTTTCTTGGTATAGCATAGGTGAATTCCACCTCAGGAGGCTGGGCTGTCTCATGTGCCCATCCATCCTAAAAATACTAAACCTCCTCCAAAGACCGATGAATAACGAGGATAGGCATCCCTCAGGAAGGCAATAAGCCTGACAAGTTCTGAGCACAGAGCCCATATTAGCCCTGAGGCTGTTCATGAACACCTTTGGGCACATAAGTGACCCCTGGGACTTTGCCCAGGACACCTAGCAGCACTGCCACTTCCTCTTCCCACTCTTGATAGAGCCCAGTCCCAGGACTCCTTGTACTCTCCCCTTCTGTGTCTAAGGTCTATTATACGATAAATGCTGACCTCAATCCCAAAAGCTCCTTCCATCCCAGTTCATGTTGAACCTCACCAATACTAGTGAACTAATACACTAGTACTGTAAAACTCAATGCCTTCTAAAAAACCTACTTTGCATTTTGAAACACTGTATGAACAAAAGTATCTAAGGTATAGTGAGTTGTCAATTCTGGCTAAAATCTTAGCCTTTAGGACTTCTTTCACATTTTCATTTTATTCTTAGACATTTGAATGTCTAATAGATATCTCTACTCGTTGCCAAAACATGACTCTACTCGTTGCCAAAACATGACACAGCAATTTTTCTGTTAAAATGTCTGGAACTGTTGCTGGGGAAAACTGTTAGGCCATGCTGATGAGGGGCATTTTCGCACATGTATGTGTCAGAGAGTGCCACAGGCAAGCACAGGTCTATGTCTATCATGATGCTGTTATTGGGTCTAAAATAAGCCACTCTAGATAATTATACTAACATTCACAGATGTCTGATGTAAACCAGTTTTCTGGTCATGTTCTACATTCCAAAGCCACAGTGTACTCCTGATGAGGTGGAGGGAGGACAGGGAAAGAGGACCATGAGTATGGGGGTCTGGCTGTTCAGGAAGACTCCTTTTGAGAGCTCTTGCCAAACCTCCCAGTGATTTGTCAGAGACCCAGGTTTTTCTTCCTTGACCTGGCCAAGAATGCTCTTCTGTGCCACAGCTCTTGGATGAGCTTGCACTGGACACCCTGTGGCCATATGGCCCTACCCACACCAGTGTCCTGACTGACCTCAGATTTTTCAAAGCAGGTGACAGTCATGAGGATGTTGTCAAAGTCAGTGCAGCTCCACCTAAGCACGTACATCCCCTCTTCACTCCCTTCTTGCCGCAGCTTATTGATAGCATATTCTGTGCTGGAGAGGAAAGAAGGCAAAGAGAGAAAGCTCACACCACACAGCACTTCATCCCTCCAGGATATCCACTTCCCTGAGCTGCCTCAAGTCTTACAGCCCCACATGTTACCTGCACAGAATCCTAAAATCTTCTCTGACATGTCAGGTGAGGCACAAGGAGCACTAAGATAGACAGTCTCTAATATCTTGGAGATATTAGATAGAGGAGATATAGATTAGCCTTGCCACCCAAGGAACTGAGTCCTGCTTGCCCCAAGTTTGCCCATAGACAGTCTCCAACTCTCACCAGAAGTGTGTCCCCAAAGACTAGTGATGAGGAACTGCAAATAACACAGGGCCCTCCCTCCCTATCACTCAGCCTAACAAGAGCATTAGAGAGAGCATTTGGGGCTGCACAAAGCAGCATAAACAAATTATTGCTATATCCCCAGTAACTAGAACAGGTTTGGCTCACAAATAAATCTATCTTACACTCTTCTGTATTCCCAGGACCAATGAGTCCTGGCACACAGAGGGCACTGAACACTGGCTAAATAAATATGGGTAGAAGTTACTAGCAGCTAACAAGTGCTATTCAGGAAGTGTTGGTGAAAGAAGGCTGATGTGGTCAACATGCTTTAGAAAGGCAGAGACAAGCACTTTACAACTGCACCATGCCTTTGCACATGTGGATCCCTCACCTAGGATACCCTGTCCCCTTTAAGACTTGGCAAACCATCATTGATTCTTCACTATGTAATTCATTTGAACCGCCTACTCTCAGAAGTCCCCTTAGGCAGTGAGTTTCAACCTTCCATAAAACACGAAACATTTATTCCTTCAACAAATACTTAATGCCTACAATGTGCCAGGCTCTGCCGTAGGTGCTAAGGGTGGCAGGGACAGTGCCCTCTGCCTTTAGGAGGCTCATGATTTAGGAAAGGAGGGTCGTCAGACCAGAGACAAATGGACACACAAATGAACACAGGACATAAGGAGGTAATAAATGTCACTGAAGGAAAAGAATAAAGTGGCAGAGAGGGCAGGATGGAGTAGGGGAGGTGGTGGTCAGGGAAGACTCTATGGATAAGGTGACAGCTAACTCGCATCCAAAGGAAGTAGGGGCTGTGTAGACCCTTGAGGAAGGGCGTTCCCAGCCTAAGGAATACCATGTACCAAGGCCCTGAAGCACAACCATGAGTGGGACACTGGAGGGAGACACTTTTATGGTGGCCAATTCCTTGTTCTACAATTCTGTGTCCATCTTCCTAGAAGTCTGTGAGACACTACAGGCCAGGGACCACACCACTACTAAACTAGGTAACCAGCAGAGAAAGAAACTGGAAAGCATGTCACATGGAAGTAGCTGAAGATATATTTCCCTAGATCTAAAGAACCATGGTTTTAGGATGGAGATGTAGCTCAGTGGTAGAGTGTTTGCTTAGCATGTGAGAAGTCCTGGGTTTAATCCCCAGTATGGCAAAAAACAAAAACAAAAACACAACCCCAAAATGAAACAAAACAAAACAAACAACCAGTCTTTCTTAGTCTGGAGGGCAGTCACATGTAAAAGGAAGTACTGAACCCCTGCTGTCTCAAAGGCAGAATGTAAATGAGTGGGGAGAAGTTAGAGAGAAGCCAAGTACAGCACCCTTTCAGAAAGGGATGTACATCTGTCACTGTGAGAGCTAAAATCTACGGACTGCTTTGAGTAATACCACATGCCCCGTCTTCAGAGGTATTTGAGCACAGGTTACCAGTCCTGAGACACAGGTGTTCTATGCATCTCATAACACCCCTTTGGCCGGTAGGCTGAGTCACCCTCCTAGTTGCCACCATCCTCCAGCATTTTAGGCCAAGCTGACCCAGGAATCTGTTTTCCACCCTGTCTGGTGCAGAGATCTGTATCCTATCTTCCTTGAATTGTTCAGTGTTCAACATGACAGGAAGCTTAGATGGCTGTAGAGAAGTGAAGGGGTTAAACTATGAGGAACAGAGACCTGAAGGAAGGGAGGAGTTGAGGGGCCCATGCAGAAGATAAGACAGGCCTGGCTGAAGTTCAGATAGTAGGAAGGGGAAAGAAAGCAGCCCCTAAGTATCAGCTAACACATTCAACTGCCCCAACTTAACTAGCCACATCTGGGATGGAGGGGCCAGACTCCTCACCACTAAAGTCTGGGCTCTTTTCACACTAAGGGTAACTGAAAGTATTTTAGAACCAACCAGATTGGACCATGACAGCCATTCTGTATGTTGTGGACGATCAGTGGGGGAGCCACGTCAGTGCAGAGGTAATGGTGGGCATCTGCTGTGAGCCGGAAATAGCCGTCTATCAGGGACACAAAGGACAAGGCCTCCTCATGGGAAGAGAGCTTCAGTTCCTGGTGAGAGAGAAGACATTCTCACAGTTACATCATGTATCTATCATCCTAAGCGGCCAACTCTGGTGAAGTGCAAATTGAGAAGGTATTTAAAATAGAATACAGAATGCATGACTCCACAGGGAAAACATTTTGCTGATGGTAACTGTACCCCTGCTTTTATATAGGACTTTTACTGTTCCACATTCTCCCATCTGTTATCTAAATGGGACAATGCATTTAGGTGAGGAGGGGTGCGGCCTGGGGAGGCTGTGGCAAACAGGGAGCCTGCAAAGAAGCTGCTTCTTGTGTCTGGACAGGAGAAACAGCCTGAATCAAGGTGGAAGAGGCACAAAAGTGGAAGTGGGAGGAGCAGAGGGTGTGCACACTGGTCTTGGCATGAAGCAGTGATGCACTGAGTTGGCATTATTCCTGCTCTGCAGAAAAGGAAACAGAGGCACAGCTGCCTTATCTCATGACAAAGCTGGTCTAGAAGGTGACACTCTGAGTTCTAATCCAGAAATGGTCCAAGAATCAGCACTGAGTTTGTTAGGTAAGTGCAGGTACCTTGGACAGTTTGGAGAAGGCAGTGAGGGAAGAGGTTAAGGGAAAGTAGAGGAAGAGAGAGAGGGAATTTTCATGAAGAAAGGTTTAAGAAAAACACGTGGAGGCAAAGACATAGATGCTGGAGCAGAGACTGCCCATCTGAGAAGAACTGTGTGGCCAACCAAGCACATATTTTGGTGAAGGAAGACATGTAAAGCCATGGTTTGGACCTTTGATTCACAAAAAAATTAAAAAGCCCCAGAGCCTTCAGAGAGGGGCAAAAGGGCACTGAGAATAAGGCTCTTTCTGGCACTGGAAAAGGGAGCAGTTAAGAGAGACAAGATGATGCTGAAGGGAAAGGGTCAGATGGGCATCAGCAGCCAGTCAGGAAGAAGGTAAGGGGGCCAGGTGACAGCAACAATGCTGAAGGAAGGGCAGCATCATCTGTCCTCAAAGGGTGGAAGGCGCAGGGGAATGAGATACTAAAGTGGCAGCGTGGATGGTGGCTAACCCACAGACTCTAGAGCTGCCTGTCTGTGTTCAGATAGACCCTAGCATCTCCACCTGCAACTGGGTTTAAGCATATTTGCACACTATTTCCATGGGTCAAAATGGTCAGTTTCAACCAAATATTGGTGTGTCCTGGGCAGGTTTCCTCTTCTATAAAATGGGGGTAGCTATCTATCCACCCATAGAGTTGGCAAGAAAATGAAAAGAGTGTCATTTGTCAAGTACTTAGAATAGGAAGTGCCTGGCACAGCATAAGGGCTACTGTTTGTGAAGGAAAACAAAGTAATGGGGAGACAGGTTTTATTTCTTTCTGCCTTGCTCTTTCTCCTTCTGCAGCACTATAGCCTATTGGCAGAGCTGTAGGCTTAAGTGGTCAGGGTAAGCTCTGACTTTGAGGATGGAGGCACCAACCAGATGCCAGACATGACTCTGCCAGTCAGGACAAGGTGTGGGGCAGGCTCACAAAGCGTGTACTTCTTCTCTCCCTTCTGGCATCTCAGAGCTTGGCTATGTAGAAGACCCTCTTCCTCACTCCCTCAGAGTCTTTGGGAGATGATGGTGCCTCAGAAACCCAAGCAACACAGGAAAAGGCAGGGGCTGCCACCAGACAGCACTGGGCCACTTTCTCATTGTGTGACACTCTACACATCCCTACACCTATTACAGTCTCAGGTTCCTCACCTGAAATTGAGCTGATATCCCTACATTGAAGGCTCTTTTAAGGACTAAAAAATGCTGGCTTAGGACCTTAACATAGTAAGGACTAACAGTACACATGCAGCATATAACCCAGGGCCAGGAAATCTGTAACATACTCAATAAGTAACACTTATTGTTACTGTCTCTTTCTCCATTTTTCGTATTTCCACCATCTCTCTGGGCTTTTCCCTTTCTCTCTGTTTTACTACACTTTTCTGATAAAACTAAGGCTTATTTTAAAAAAGAGGGGAGGAAAGATCAATTAAGAAAATTAAAGCAATTCAGTCTTACCATAAATAAATAGCTGTTAATATCTGATTTTTTTTTTCTTTTTTTGTAATTCTGGAGTTTGAACTTGGAGCTTCCCACTTGCTAGGCAGACGCTCTCCCTCTTGGGCCACACCTCGAGCCCTTTTTTAAGTAGGGTCTCACATTTTTGCCCCAAGCTAGCCTTCAACCTCAATACTTCTACCTATGGCCTCCCACATGGCTGGGATGATAGGCATACACCAGGTTTGTTGATTGAGACTGGGTCTCACTTAACTTTTTGCCCAGGCTGGCCTCAAACTGTAATCCTCTCAATCTCTGCCTCCTGAGTAGCTGGGATTATAGGCATGAGCCACTGTGTCTAGCTATTTGATTATTTTTCTAAGGGCATGTGTATACACATGCTTACCTCTTAAAAACTTTGAAGAAAATTAGTACTAGTTTATACGTAAAGTTTTATAGTCTGTTTTTTATCATTTAAAAAGGCATTTTTCCAGATAATTAAAAAATTCTGCAATTTGATTGTGCAATGTTCTATTTCTCACGTGAATCAAGATCTGTTTTCCCACTCTCCTATTTGTATGTATATCTAGGTTGTTTTCAGTATTTTCACACTGTAAACACTGCTAGAATGTACATTCTTACTCATAACCACTGCCTGTATCTCACATTGCTTCTGGAAGACAGATTCCTTGGATGCCTGAGTGGAGAGACATATAAACATTCTCAAGGCTTTGAACACATGCTGCCAGGCTGCTTTCCAAGAGGTTATTCCAGAACAAGTTACTCTGGACATGAAAGGGACCATGTGTCCTAAACCATCACCTGGCCATGCACCTTAGCTGAGTGTTATCTTTCTGACACAGAATTTGCCAAATTTTAGGGAATGACTCCTTTGGGTTTGTGAGCTGCCCTCTCTCACCAGCCTGTCCTCTCTGTGTTGTCTGCCTTAACCTCCTCCAACACAAACATGCTTATTTTGGCAGAGTTCCTACTTCCCCTGCCAAACTGGCCTGCTTGTCTAGATTATGTCCTCAAGTGCTACCAGGAAAGAGGAAGTGAGATGAACACCCCTTCCTTTCTCCAAGTCACTGGGTGTGCCTGCTACTTGGCCGATGATCTGCCAAACAGGGCTTCTCACCCACCTTGTCCCAGAGGACCTGCCCAACTTAGCAGAGGTAAAGTAGGAGCCCTTGGGGGGAAAAGCATTCATTAATTTTCTTTTTCTTCAAATCTGCTAACTTTTGTGAATTAAATATTGCTGAAGTATCTCTTGGTAGGCAGTAGACCTTAAGGCAGATTCACATTTGCAAGACCAAAGAAAGGCACTGGAATGTACCACTGTTAATTAAAAACTGACGAAGCTGTCAAATTTTTATGAGGCACATGGGACTTTTTGGCTTAAACTGAACTCTGCAGATCACGTGCTGTACAGTTGTCCTCACAGTGCCTCCCTCTCCCCACCACATCCAAACTGAATAGCTTCTGAGCAAACTTACCATTTTTTTGTTGTCCTGCTTGTTAATGCTGACTACGGACTCTTTTATTACAATGTGAGTGATTTCAGGGAAGTATGAAAAATTGTTCCACTCTTCCCGGGCTTTGTTTTTCTCATCATCCTTCTTGTGTTTATTTTCCAGCTTTTTCCGCTTCAGTTTATTTTTTTCCTTTTCAACAGGAACAGCCTGATAAGATACAGAAAAGTGGCAGGGCTAACATGGCTTCTCATTTTCTCTTGGTAAAAGATCAGTGCTTCTGGAAATTCTGTGCAGGGCTTAGCCTCAAGGAGGAGAAAGCTGGCACACATGGGCTCACAGAGCATGGGGAAGCTCTGGGCTAGGACCAAAGGACAGAATACTATCAAGGAATTTGGGCTTTTACACCTGGAAGCGACCTTAACGAGCATGCTGACTAAACTCCTTATGTGATATATACAATGGGCATGTCAACTCAGGAAGGGACATACTGTCCCATGGGTGCATGTCAATAAGCAGGCCTCACTTATAGACAGACCCTATGCTTTAGCACAGGCAGGGAGCAAGTACTTCCTAAAGTAGGCAGAATATGAGCTCTCTCCTTCTACCATTGTTTGTCTTGACTTTGTAACAGTACTCAAGTGGGGACTGCCAAGAGAAGATATGCATCCCATGCATGAATCATCTACACATGGAAGAGCATGCATTGCACAAGTTTAAACGTGCTGTACAGCATGGGCTCTGAAGACTAGCATTCGAGGCTAAGCTCCTGCCTCTGCTGGTTACTTAACTATTTAGGTCATCTCTCTGAGTCTCCATTTCCCTTGTCACAGAGCAGAGAGCTTAAATCTTCACAAGGTTCCCTGACATTAGGTACATGTTCAGTAACATAGCACCTACTATGTAGAAACCCATTGTTAAGTGTTAAGCATTACTACTTCAGCATGAGAAGAAAACGGGAGGAGAAAATGAATCTCACACTTAATTTTATATTATTACTTACAAAAATAATTACAGCAGCTATATTAATTTATTCAACATTTATTATATGCCACGTTCTGTGCTAAATGCCATTCAGTTCTTTTAGCAGCTCTATGAATTAGACACAGTTAAGCTGGCCCATCATATTCATGACTTTTATATCCACAGATCCTGTATGCACAGATTCAGCCAACCAAAGATCGAAAATGTAAGCTAGGGCCTGGAGGTGCGGCACAAGTGGTAGGGTGCCTGCCTAGTAAGCACAAAGCTCCGAGTTCTAACTCTCGTACCGCCCCCCAAAAATATAAGTTGGTTAAATCTGTGCTAACACATAGACGTTTTTCTTGTCATTATTCCCTAAACAGTATGATGTAACTATTTATGGAGCATTTATATAATATTAGGCATTATAGTTAATCTAGAGATGACTGATCTCTATAGGAGGATATGCATAGGTTATATACAAATACTGTATCATTTTACTTAAGAGACTTGAGCACCCACAGATTTTGGTATCTGCAGAGGATTCTAGACCAATTTCCTCCCCCCTTCCCTTGATATTAAGGGACAACTGCACCTCCATTTGATGAATGAATAATATGCAGCCTTTATGGGTGAAATAACCCTCCTAAGGCCACATAACCTTAAGTAGGGGAGCTAGAATTTGATTCAGGTTTCCTTTGGCTAAAACCCATGCTCTTAAACCACTCTGTGCTATTGCTCATTCAACAAACACCTCAATAAAGAAGCTTCATAATGCAAAACTAGTCATCCTATCTCACAGAGCCTAAGTCCAACACCTCAACTGTGCTACATGTTGATATAAGGGATGACTAACACAAGGTCTCTAGCTTAAATAAACTCAGCCTATATGGGTGATGGACATGCAAACAAGTGATTCAGATGATATTCTCTTCTGATCAGGCACCCACAGTCACTTACGTTTGTTTTTTGCCGCCACTGAATTCCAAGATTTCCGGTCACCATCACTTCATAGTAGAGAACATTACCACTGTCATTCGAATGAAACCAATTCATTTCATTTTCTGATGAAATCAGTAACATGGAAGTCTCAAATATCTCAGCCCCGTAATGTTTTGTCAAAGTTTCCAAGGTGGCCAGGTATTTCACCTTCAGATCATGTGTAGATACACTACTGTCACAAATGGTCTTATTATTAAATTCCTTTAAGAAATCCTTGAAAACATTATTTATTCGCATCCTGGTGAGAAGGTTTCTCTGTCTGATGGATTTATTCAATGTTTCTGGAATATATCGCTTATAGCTAAAAGAAAACAGGAAGATGTATCACTTTCTCACACACAGGTTAGCAGAAAAAGGCTTAGAAACAAACCTGCCTATGAATCTTCCTTGCGTATGCTACCAAATGAGAAAAGAGGACCTTAGATGGATGATAATCATAATGAGATGGAGAAGAATCAAGACAGAGAGAACAGAAAGGTACATGCTCCACAAATTTCATATAATGGGAATTCCTACTTATCACCAAATTTCCTGGGTCACAAAGACAGACAGAAAAATTGACTTATCTACATTTTTTCTTGCCAGTTTGACTGCTCTCTGCACATTAACACCTCATGTAGATGCTGTTAACATTAAGCATCAGTTAGAAAATGTCCTAAAAGGCATTCAGAGTGAGGGAGTCCTGGTGAGATTTTGGATGCTCTGAATGTACTACCTGCCTATTTCATTATTTTTCTATAAAGATCACACAATTTTTTATAAAAAGTGGAAAAAGTACATGAAGGCTCAGTAAATACAAAAGGCCATGCCTACTGTATGGCTATGTCCCAGACATAGTAAGTGGACTAAGTAGAAAATGGAAAGATTAGTTACCATCCAGGTGCTGAAAGGAGAGGAGATGTAACAATCAGTCTTGAAAAACTGATACTGTGCGTGCGACCAGGAGTCAGTTTTAAGATGAGCACAAACACTCACGAAAGAAAGAACAAGTCACAGGGGGACAAAAAAAATGGGGAAACTGGTCAGCTTGCTATCCCCAGTCTGGGACAGCACTTAGCTCAGGGTAATCCCTATAGCAAGAATGGCTTCATAGGCAGTGGAATTTTGTAAAGTTTTGTGAAGTTTCGAGTTTACCTTCAATCTGTAGTATAATTTTTCTTTTAGACTAATATGAAAGAATTAAGAGAAAAACTGTCATTTTCTACTTTAATGAAAAAATGAAATGCCCAGAGTGAAGGTCATAAAAAAAGAGAAAGTAGCAACTCAGCTTTTATCTAATCAGTCCCTGCATTACTGGGGAACAACTTGCATTACTGAGAAATTCTGGTCAAGGGCATGGAGAAACAAGAAGTAACCTCATGAGATGTGTGCCACCTATCACAAATAATGCACCTATCATAAAAATCTCCTCTTAAAACAACTGTCTTCATTTATGACTATCAAAACAGCCCATTGGGGAGGAAAGAAAAACTATTAGATTTCCTAGATGGGCAAAAGTTAAACAGACTGAATATTGACCTAGAATGTTATTTTTATATAAATACAATTTTATAAAGATAATAGTTGACCATCCCTCACATCAGAATTAATAGCTCCCTAGTGCACCACTAGAACTCTTTGGGAGCTCAGGTTAGGGATGGTAGCAGCTGAGAAGGATTGTAAGATGGGTCCAACATGCTGAGAGCAACTTCAGTGACAGATGGGAATGTCCCCCATGAGTAATGAGGGGAGGCACGGAGCACATGTGGGTTACTAATCTGATTGGGATCCCCATTCCAGAAATTTAGAATAAATTTCTGAGATTATCCAACAACACTGAAAATCAGGCCACAATTGCCTTTCTCAAATAACTAAGTAAGATGTGAGTCTTGCAGAAAGCAGGGGTCAGGCAAACACTGGGTGCAGTTAAATGCAACACCATCCCCTCAATCTACCATGCCCAGCAGAAAGGCTTACCTGATGTCCTTGGGAAGTTCCGGCAACTGCATCTTCTTTATCATGGCATAGTGGGAGATGGCCAAGACAGCCATTCCCAGGCATTCATTCTCAATATCATGACCATCCTGCTCAGTCTTGGGGTCCCGAATGGGAGCTAGGCATTTGATCAAATCATACTGTCCCTTCGGAGCAAAGACGAGGAAAAAAATAAGCCAGCACTTAAGTTTCAAGAGCCCACGTATCATTTTGATCTTGATAAGAAGGTCCCCCACATGGGGAGATGCTACCCAGAAAAGCAGTACAATAAGGAGATGAATCAGATTTAGTTTCTCCAGCATCAAAGCTCTTTTTCAACAAAGCTGGGTAAGAAGCTGCTCAGTAGATGTTCTCCATAGGTACATTCATGCATTTAACAAGTATTTATTGGGCACTATGCTAGGTCATGGTGAAGAGTACATACATATGAAACCCCTTCAGGAAACTTGAAATAAAAATGATGCTGACAAGTACTAGGTCTGAAATGCACCAGAGCAAGGGACAGTGACACTGGACTAAGGCTTGATCACTTGTTAATTCCACAACCATGTAACTAGATAACCTAGAAACTGACAAGGGACCACTTCTTCTGCGTAGAGTTAGAGAAGGAAATAAATCCACCTCCTACAGGGCATCATTACCACATACCTGCCGTCTGCATTTCCATTTGTGAAGCTTGTTATTAGAATAACCTCACGGATGGTAGGCTGTGCAGCATTCCGAGAATCAATAGGGAATTTAAAAACAAAAAATTCAGTATGTAGTGCCCACTATCTGCCTCATTCAGACTAATGATGATAAACGTCCATGCTGGCTCCAACTTACTAAGTCCTAACTTCACTGCTAGATCCTGTGTTTGATTCCTTTCACCCGTTATTTCACTTAATCCTAACAATAGCCCTCTTAGGTGGGTATTAACATCATCATCTCTCTCTAACAGATCAGGAGTCTAACCCCACTCATTCATTCATCCATTTGACAATTACCAAGAACCAATTATGGGTGGGTCAAATACTATTCTACATACTAGGGATACAGCAGTAAACTAAACCACATTTCTGGCCTCAAAGAGATTCTATTCTGAAGAAGAAAGGCTAGGCATGGTGGCACACACCTATAATCCCAGCTACACAATTGGTGGAGACAGAAGACTGTGGTTTGAGGCCAGCCCAGGCAAAAAGGTAGTGGGATGCCAGCTCAACAAATAAGTCATGTGTGGTGGTACATGTATGTAATCCTAAGTATTTGGGAGGCCATAGCTAGGAGGATCATAGTCCAAGGCTGGCCCAGGCAAAAAGTGTGAGACCCTCTTGAAAAAATAAAGAGAAAAGGAGTTTGGGGTGTGGCTCAAGCGGCAGAGTGTTTGCCTAACAAGCACAAGGTCCTGAGTTCAAATTCCAGTACTGCCAAAAAAAGAGGAAGAAAAATAAATAGGAATATCTAATGTCATGTAGTTACAAAAAACAAAGTCAAATAAGAGAGAGTACCATGGAGGCCAGGGGCTCAGTGAGTGGTAGGTTAAGATTAAACCTAGACCTGACTCTAAGGAGCCGTTCATCAACATTGTGCCACAGCCATATTCAATCTCTATTGACACCTTAAAAATATTCAGCACTCCAAGGACTGAAAGGGCAGGGGCGCTCTGGAAGAAGGGCTCCTTCCTAAGAAAGACTTTAGGTTCTTGGTTTGAATGGAGGTTCTCATGCTGTATGATTGGACTTCTTGTTCCTCTCAGGTAATGAAAGGTCTAGTTCTATGAATTTCTGAGAATCGACAACAATGATCTTCCCACAATGTGTGAAGAGAACAAAATCTGAACCTGGGATTTTTTTGTGGGGAATGTCTGTATGATTTTCTGTAAATATTTCCTATATAGCTACCTCAAATAACTCATACCTAAGCCTGCAAAAGGTAAGATTCTAATGCAACACTTCATCCTTGAAGTACAGCATACTATTCCTTTATATACCTTTGCTTCCAAAAAAGATGAAAGAATAAAGCTCAGATATAGGCACACAGAACTGAGAAGTTGAAGCCAAAAGACCAATCTGCTTTTTTTCCCCACATAGTCCTGATGGCCATGGCCTGTCTCACTTCTCTATTGTCTCTAAGGCCAATTCTAAGGTATGTATGGAACAGGGACTAAAACTGTACAGTGTGATACAACCCTGATGTAAAAATTTATGTGTAAAAGTATATCTTAAGGAAATAACAGACAAGCACAGAAACCCGTAAATGAGGTTGAGTTATTCATAATTGCCTATCACAATAACAGCATCATAGGGGAAATAAGAAAAACCAAAAACATCCAAGAATAGGTGATAGGTTAAATTAATGACGGGAGTCATACACAGTGGCTCACACCTGTAATCCTAGCTACTTGGGAATTGGAGATCACAAGGATAGCAGTTTGAGGCCAGCTGGGGCAAAAAGTTTGTAAGATTCCATCTCCATCAATAAAATCTGAGTGTGGTAGGGCACACCTGTTATACCAGCTATATGGGAAGCATAAATAGGAAGATCATGGTCCAGGTGGGCCTAGGCATAAATGTGAGACACTTTAAAAAATAAGTAAAGCAAAGAGTGGCTCAAGTGGTAGAATGATTGCCCAGGGCCTTGAGTTCAAACCCCAGTGCTGCCAAAAAAAAAGAATAATGATAATGATGATGGTTTTTCTCCCAGACTCTAGCTTTATTACTCAATAGCCTATCTAAAATCTTCTCTTGTATGCCTCATAGGCTTCTCCAAATAAGAACTAATTTCTAGACCCAATTTCATCAAACATACCCTGAAAGACCTAAAAGCATATATTAACGCCAACACAGTGGTTGTGGGAGACTTTAACACCCCATTATCATCAATTGATAGGTCGTCCAAACAAAAAAAATCAATAAAGAAATCCTAGATCTAAAATATACAATAGATCAAATGGACCTAGTTGATGTCTACAGAACATTTCATCCAACTTCTACACAATATACATTCTTCTCAGCAGCCCATGGAACCTTCTCCAAAACAGATCATATCCTAGGGCACAAAGTAAGTCTCAGCAAATATAAGAAAATAGAAATTATACCGTGCATACTATCTGATCACAATGCAGTAAAAGTAGAACTCAATAAAAAAAGTAAAGACAAAAAACATGCAAACAGCTGGAAACTAAATAACTCATTACTTAATGAACAATGGATCATCGATGAAATAAAAGAGGAAATTAAAAAGTTCCTGGAAGTCAATGAAAATGAAAACACAACCTACCGGAACCTGTGGGACACAGCTAAGGTAGTCCTGAGAGGAAAGTTTATAGCCATGAGTGCATATATTAAAAAGACTGAAAGATCCCAAATCAATAACCTAATGATACATCTCAAACTCCTAGAAAAACAAGAACAAGCAAATCCCAAAACAAATAGAAGGAGAGAAATAATAAAAATAAGAGCTGAAATCAATGAAATAGAAACCAAAAAAACCATACAAAGAATTAATGAAACAAAAAGTTGGTTCTTTGAAAAAATAAACAAGATCGATAGACCCCTGGCAAACCTGACAAAAATGAGGAGAGAAAAAACCCAAATTAGTAGAATCAGGAATACAAAAGGGGAGATAACAACAAACACCATGGAAGTCCAGGAAATTATCAGAGACTACTTCGAGAACCTATATTCAAATAAATTTGAAAATCTTAAAGAAATGGACAGATTTCTAGATACATATGATCATCCAAAACTGAACCAAGAAGAAATTAATCACCTGAATAGATCTAACACAAAATGAAATTGAAGCAGCAATCAAGAGTCTCCCCAAAAAGAAAAGTCCAGGACCTGATGGATTCTCTGCTGAATTCTAACAGACCTTTAAAGAAAAACTGATACCAACCCTCCTTAAACTGTTCCACGAAATAGAAAGGGAAGGAAAACTGCCTAACACATTTTATGAAGCCAGTATTACACTTATCCCAAAACCAGGCAAAGACACCTCCAAAAAGGAGAACTATAGGCCAATCTCCTTAATGAACATTGATGCAAAAATCCTCAACAAAATAATGGCAAACCAAATTCAACAACACATCAAAAAGATTATTCACCACGACCAAGTAGGCTTCATCCCAGGGATGCAGGGGTGGTTCAACATACGAAAATCAATAAACGTAATAAACCACATTAACAGAAGCAAAGACAAAAACCACTTGATCATCTCAATAGATGCAGAAAAAGCCTTTGATAAGATCCAACACCATTTCATGATAAAAGCTCTAAGAAAACTAGGAATAGAAGGAAAGTACCTCAACATTATAAAAGCTATATATGACAAACCTACAGCCAGCATTATACTTAATGGAGAAAAACTGAAACCATTCCCTCTAAAATCAGGAACCAGACAAGGATGCCCACTATCTCCACTCCTATTCAACATAGTACTGGAATTCCTAGCCAGAGCAATTAGGCAAGAAGAAGGAATAAAAGGAATACAAATAGGTAAAGAAACTGTCAAAATATCCCTATTTGCAGACGACATGATCCTATACCTTAAAGACCCAAAAAACTCTACTCAGAAGCTTCTAGACATCATCATAGCTATAGCAAGGTAGCAGGATATAAAATCAACATAGAAAAATCATTAGCATTTCTATACACTAACAATGAGCAAACTGAAAAAGAATGTATGAAAACAATTCCATTTACAATAGCCTCAAAAAAAATCAAATACCTAGGTGTAAACCTAACAAAAGATGTGAATGACCTCTACAAGGAAAACTATAAACTTCTGAAGAAAGAGATGAGGAAGACTATAGAAAGTGGAGAGATCTCCCATGCTCATGGATTGGTAGAATCAACATAGTAAAAATGTCATACTCCCAAAAGTAATCTACATGTTTAATGCAATTCCCATCAAAATTCCAATGACATTCATTAAAGAGATTGAAAAATCTACTGTTGAAATTTATATGGAAACACAAGAGGCCACGAATAGCCAAGGCAATACTCAGTCAAAAGAACAATGCTGGAGGTATCACGATACCTGACTTCAAACTATATTACAAAGCAATAACAATAAAACACATGGTACTGGCACAAAAACAGACATGAAGACCAGTGGAACAGAATAGAGGACCCAGATATGAAGCCACACACCTATAACCAACTTGTCTTTGACAAAGGAGCTAAAAATATACGATGGAGAAAAGCAGCCTCTTCAACAGAAACTGCTGGGAAAACTGGTTAGCAGTCTGCAAAAAACTGAAACTAGATCCATGTATATCACCCTATACCAAGATTAACTCAAAATGGATCAAGGATCTTAATATCAGACACAAACTCTAAAGTTGATACAGGAAAGAGTAGGAAATACTCTGGACTAGTAGGTATAGGTAAGAACTTTCTCAAGAAACCCAGCAGCACAGCAACTAAGAGATAGCATAGATAAATGGGACCTCATAAAACTAAAAAGCTTCTGTTCATCAAAAGAAATGGTCTCTAAACTGAAGAGAACACCCACAGAGTGGGAGAAAATATTTGCCAGCTACACATCATGATAACCAGAATATATAGGGAACTTAAAAAACTAAATTCTCCCAAAACTAATGAACCAATAAAGAAATGGGCAAGTGAACTAAACAGAACTTTCTCAAAAGAAGAAATTCAAATGGCCAAAAACACATGAAAAAATGCTCACCATCTCTAGCAATAAAGGAAATGCAAATTAAAACACACTAAGATTCCACCTCACCCTGTTAGAATAGCCATCATTAGCAACACCACAACAACAGGTGTTGGCGAGGATGCGGGGAAAAAGGAACCCTTACACTGTTGGTGGGAATGTAAACTAGTACAACCACTCTGGAAAAAAATTTGGAGGCTACTTAAAAAGCTAGACATTGATCTACCATTTGACCCAGCAATACCACTCTTGGGGATATACCCAAAAGACTGTGACACAGGTTACTCCAGAGGCACCTGCACATCCATGTTTACTGCGGCACTATTCACAATAGCCAAGTTATGGAAACAGCCAAGATGCCCCACCACTGACGAATGGATTAAGAAAATGTGGCATCTATACACAATGGAATTTTATGCAGCCATGAAGAAGAACAAAATGTTATCATTCGCTGGTAAATGGATAGAACTGGAGAACATCATTCTGAGTGAGGTTAGCCTGGCCCAAAAGACCACAAATCGTATGTTCTCCCTCATATGTGGACATTAGATCAAGGGCAAACACAACAAGGGGATTGGACTTTGGGCACATGATAAAAGCGAGAACACACAAGGGAGGGGTGAGGATAGGTAAGACACCTAAAAAATTAGCTAGCATTTGTTGCCCTTAACGCAGAGAAACTAAAGCAGATACCTTAAAAGCAACTGAGGCCAATAGGAAAAGGGGACTAGGAACTAGAGAAAAGGTTAGATCAAAAAGAATTAACCTAGAAGGTAACACACACGCACAGGAAATAATGTGAGTCAATCCCTGTATAGCTATCTTATCTCAACCAGCAAAAACCCTTGTTCCTTCCTATTATTGCTTATACTCTCTCTACAACAAAATTAGAAATAAGGGCAAAATAGTTTCTGCTGGTATTGAGGGGGTGGGGGAGAGGGAGGGGGGGGAGTGGGTGGTAAGGGAGGGGGTGGGGGCAGGGGGGAGAAATGACCCAAGCCTTGTATGCACATATGAATGATAAAATAATAATAAAAAAAAGAACTAATTTCTACCTACTCTTTCCGAGGCTCACTCTTATGTAGGAAATCAACGCCATTATCCACTCAACATTGCCCAAATCAGAAATCCAGAAATCATCTGTCATCAAATCCTCTCATGGTACACAGCCAACCCATGGAAATTCGTATCAATTATACGTCCCAAATCAATGGCAGATCTACTCACTTTTCTCCAACTGTACTGAGCCAAACCAGTATTTTCTCTCACAGGGCCACTGTTTCAGACTCTCATGTGGTATATTTAGAGTGTACTCTTAGATCCAACACAAGCTACTTCCCATATAATACAAGAATCATCATTAACTAAGTGTAAATAAGATCAAACCCTCCAAATACCTGCCCACTCATTGTAAAAAACACATCCCCTCACCAGTCCCACTCATCCCCTTGCTCTTGTTCTCCACTCTGACTCTTCTGAGCTCCCTGCCTCAGGGCCTTCCCCATCAGTTCTCTCCATACTGGTCTGAGGGAAAGGAGGCAATGTCTGAGACGAGTTAAGTTGTTATAACTAAGAGCAGGGTGCTACTAAATGCCCTGCCTGTGTTTAGTAGGTGCAGGCCAGGGTCACAAGGCACAGGGCAGTCCGTTGTGACAATGTCACAGTGAAACAAACTGACTACTGACAGAGCTTGAGAAACTCGACATGGAAGAAATAACTTCCCCTATTTGTCTCTTGGAACCGAGGATTCCTTTTCACTCTTCAAGATTCATTACAAAGGTCATCTCCCTGAGGCCTTCTCTGATCGCAGTATTTGAACTGTTTCTTCACGTTCAATCCCCTCCACATTCTCTATCACAAAAGCCTGTCCCTGTACAGTACTTTTCACAATTTCCCATGCATTAGCTATGTATCACTGGATGTGTTCATTGTTTTCTGCTGTCTAACTTGAGTATACCTGATGCACACTAGACCATGTTGATCTCATTTATTCCATTATTGCCAGTATGTTGGTAAGGATAGGGCCTGAGGCAAATAGGACACAGACACACAGTAAATACATGTGAAATAAATGAAATAGTATGCCATCATTGAAACAATAAAAATCAATGTTTTTAATAGACATTTGCAGGATGAATAAAGAAGCATAAAATGGTATGAACAGCAAGACATTTTCAAAAATGCATAGTATATAATATAAATTTGCAAGTTAAAATCAGAAAGCAGACTATCAAAAATACTAGCTATCTCAGGGTAGTGTAATTTCCGGTGGTTCTAACTTCTCTTTTGGCTTTTGCCTAGTGTATATATAATCTTCCCACCCTCCTACCACTGTGACTCTGAGTGACTACCTCCTTCCTCCCCAGGTGTCTCTGACTGCTGAGAGGTGCCTATGTTCATCCACTGTGCTAAGCCTTCCTTCAACTGCAGTTCTGACTTCTGCATGTAGGGCAGCACAGATGACAAGCAAAATGACAGGGCAAGAGATACGTCTGTGTGAAGAAATAGAGAAGCAAGGGCTGGAAAACCCACAAGTGGGATAGCCAGCTTCTTAGAATGCTGAATTGCTGCTTCTCCCCTCACCTAGCGCAAGTCCAGGTGTGGCAAGAACTTTCACAGAACAGGCCATAAAGCATCCTAGCACCACCAAGTTCAGCTGCATGGAGAAGCTGAGCCTCTCCAAATGCCTCACCATCCAACAGACTCCAGGTCATCCTGGGCCCAAACTTCCTACCTGAGCAAACAGATACTCCAGAGAGCTGGCATCAAGGAGAGGGGTTGCATCTGGAACCTTTTTCTTCTCATAGCCATTTTTCTGCTTCTTTGGAGAATGTCGCCACACAGACTGCTCGTTATCATTAGTCCCATGCCAGTTGGTAAAGTAGAATCTGAAAGGCAGTAAAATAATGTCAACTGTGGCAAAGTGGTCCCTGGTTCTATTAAGTGGTTGGTGCTGGAGGCTAAAGTGCTGAGATGAGCAAAGAGATAAGCCTTACCTTGCAGCCCCTCATTGTCCCAAAGTCCTATTCTTCTGACTCTTGAAAACACTCTGTGAGAGTGTCCTATCAGCACCTTCTTTAGACATAGGGAGATAAGTGACTTCCTCATGTGTTCATTTTGCCTTCCTGAACAGGAAAGTATCTGCTGCCTACAGCTAGTTGCTGGCCCAGCAGCTCCAGCAGCACCGCTCAGCCATCCTGTCTTAACCCTGGAACCCTTTTGTTCACATCTTAACATTTCTGAAACATAGTTTCACCACACTGTATTGTGTTTCCCAGTTCCCAGACTACTGTTATTAAAATTGGTAGCATATCTTATAATGAACAGGGTTTCAAAAGATAAACACACAGATCACTACCACAAATATCACCTGTGGTGTCATGGACACGTTAGCAGCACTTTACAAATATGTCACCTCATCGTCACAGCAACTGCACAGCAATTGCACAGGTAGGTTTCACTATTTTCAGTGCACAGAATAAGGAAAACAGGTTCTAAGAGGCGAGGTAGCCTGTGACTACAAACCTGTGCTCTTACCCACTGCTTTCCTCTGTCACCTGTATGGGAAACATGAGTTCTGGAAAGTGTGAAAGTGACCCAGGCCATCTCTGGGCAACTGACTCAGCTCTGCCTAGACTGCTCTCCCTGACATGCTCATGAGCTGTAGAGAAACCACCACATTACTGAAAAGCAATGAATAAAACTCCTTAAAAACAGTCACTATTGGGCTGGAGGTATGGTTCAAGTGGTAGAGCACCAGCCTAGTAAGCACAAAGACCTGAGTTCAAACCCCACTATGGCAAAAAAACAAAACAAAACAAAAAAAACTTGCTGTTAAATGTAAACATCTGTCACTGAGCTGTATTTGCCAAGCCCAGACCCTGGGCTGCAGACAGTCTCAGACACAGCCCCTGCCTTCTGTGCGTCCATGTCCAGCAGCAACACAATTACAGTGGGTCATGTGTCCCAGCAGCACTACATCATAGTTTTCATGGGCCCCACATACTTGGCCCCTTCCTCCTTAAGAAAACATTAAAAGTTATGTTTTATAACTATGTCAGCACCAAGATAAATACAACGCAACCAACCTAGATTATATTAATTTGTGACTTTAAATTAAAACATTTCATGGCCCTTCAATAACACTGGGTCCTTGGCATACTGCCTAGTGGATAACACCTCTGGGATTAGAATAAATAAATGTCAAGATACAGAGCTTAGACCATCCACAGCAGACAGAGTTGAAAATGAAAGCCATGCTGATAGGAGGCAGGGTGCTTCTGTAAGGAAGCCTAGGGATGAGTCCACAGACAGCAGATGCCTCTGGCAATAGTTTGGGCAATAACACGAGCTCCGTATCGGCAGAAGGCAGCTGTTTACTCATCACAGAATCTCCAGCACCTGTACCTAACTCATGCTTATTAGCTGCTTAGCAGATAAACAACAAATAATAAATTCAGGGAATGGCAATTAACACAGAAAGGAAAGGTTGGATAAAGAAGTTAAAGTATAAATCAGTAGTTTGTAACTTCTAATAGTTCTATACAGCCCATCTTCTCTATAACTTATGAGAAGGACTGGGAGTTTGTGGGCTTTGTTGTCTCTCACACACAGAACCACATAGCTACAGAGCCCAAATACTACTATATAAGTCATGTCAAGTCTCTAAAGCAGCTGGTTGTCTTTTTACTCTCCACACCTGTGACAAGGGATCGGGTTTTGGTAAGAACGGGAACCCAAGGGATCAACTAAAAAAAAAATTTAGAGACTGGTGTTCATTACTCTCTTGGGCCTTGCAGTACTCTTTAAAAGTAGAACAGAGCATGGACTGGGAGGTCTCAGCAGGTCTCCTGTCCCCTCCACAAGCAGAGAGAAATAAACCACCTCACCTCCCCAACTACAAAGATTCAAAGCAGGGCTCCAACAGAAGAGTATCCAGGGCAAGTAAATTCTATTTGGTGATGGAGGAAGGCAGTGATAGGAACATGGGGATTATGTGAAGCATGGAAGGTTTCCTGGAGCAAGGAAAGAAATGGCTCCCAGAGAGGGAGGAGGTTGTTTGAGAGAAGCACTGAAGTCAGGAGTTCCCTGAACCACTCCATTCCATGGCCACTTCTTTCACATTCTACCAAGTCTCTATAACAAAAAGTCCTTGAACATGGTAGAGTCCATAGCCCAACATACTTCCTTCTGGGTTGAATATAATCTTCAGGATCACTGAAGACTGATAAGGACATCACAAACACATTCTTCTAGGCTGCTATCTAAAAGCCAGGTGAGATCATCTTTGGCTTGGAAGACTTTTGATCATTTGTTTAGATAAGATGAGGCTAAGGGATCAAACATAATGTGCAATTTCTCCATCATAGTAAAGGCAAATAGTGTACAGAAGACCAGCAAGCTTAAAACAAGCCTGGATCTGTATGAATTGCCTACAGTCAAAGGTTGACAAGTTTGTTATTTCAGAAAATGTCAAAAACAAAAACATCATCATTAAATCGGTAAGCCAGGAGCAGTGGCATGTACTTGTAGTGCTACTTGGGAGGCTGAGGCAGGAAGGCTGTTAAGTTTGAGGCCTTAAGTTCCTGCCTCAAAAAAAAAAAAAAAGTGACTACCAATATCAACATCTTCCTAACTGCTAACAAGACAAGACTAGAAAATTCTATATTTCTTTTTTAAATTAATCACTGAGATGGTCAAGAGCTCAAAATAGCAGATATGGTGAATACAGTTAAAAATCGTACATTATACATTTCAAAATTACGAACAGTAAATTTCAAATATTCTCACCACAAAAAATAAGTATTTGAGGTGATGAATGTGTTAATTAGCATGGGCTAATTATCCCATATTATATTCATAAATCACAACATCACTTTATGAAATAAATTATAAAGGTATTTACCAAACTTGGCATACACAAATGCCTGATAATGTAACATGCCAATAGAAAAACAGAGTGATAAATGTAGTATATCACTGTCCACATTCCTTTTCAGAATGATGGGGAAGGAGCTGGCAGAGTGGCTCAAATGGTAGAGTACCTGCCTAAGCAAGCATGATACCCTGAGTTCAATCCCCAGTATCACCCAAAAACATACACAAACAAACAGAATGATAGGAAGGAGAGTGGAGAAGAAATACACACACCTGTCAGTCAGAGATATATCATGCAAGGTTTTGAGAAATTATATTACAGAAGACTGCACATTCTAAGTTTATACTGAATAGACACTGTACCTAAAGGTTTTCTCTTCAGGTTTCTATAAATTTTACTGATGGATAATGAATTTCACTTAGATAAAAAAAGCAAGAAAGGGCCTGCATTGGGTTTAAGTGTAGAGCTCTTGCTTAGCAGGTGTGGGGCCGAGTTCAAACTCCAGTATTTCCAAAAAAGAAAAGAAGAAAAGAAAAAGCAAGAATTTTTTTAAAGGAATAAAGAATACGATTATCTTATATTAACATATATTATAAACACAATATCCAGAAATGATACCTAAAAACAAAGCCACACATAAAGCACAAGAATATTTCCCAAAATAGAGTTGGGGTTCCACATAAATAATTGCCAACATTTATTTTCCTATCACATCTTTTTAGTGGTGAGATTATGAGGTTTCAACATTTTTATAGTTTGTTGTAATGCAAATGTTTTAACTTAGGGTGGTATTTTTTCTCTCAAGTTCAAAGAGTCTGTGGTAAGAAAGCAATATCCTGTTGAAGCACAATGTCAGGTACAAAGTCAAGGTGACAAAAATGAAGCAGCTGTGCACTTCCTGGCAGCTAAGAGAAACAGGGAACAGGCAAAGACAGCTCTTAATAGCAAGGTTTTTGTACAACCAACAAAGTCTATGCCTTAGAGAGGATTGGAGTGCTAACAAAATGGCTCACAGTACATGTACCTTTGAGTAATTCCCTCTTCAGAGCATCGGTTTTCCCACTGAAGAAATGGGGAAGCTGAATTTGGTAAACTCAAGTCTAAGTATCAAATACTACCATGCTGGGCTCTGGGCTAAGTTTAGAAACCTAGGCGGAAAGAATAAGAACTCAGTGATATGCCCTTACCTAGACTTTCAGCGATAAGTATATGCCTCAATACTGATCATACAGCCAACTCCCAGTCCATGGAACAAGATTACACTTAGAAAAACAAATCCAAACATAGTTACTAGGCTCTGCTGGGCAGAGTAAATATTCCCTAAGTTTGAAGCAAGAAATCTTTAACATGGCATACACCTCTCCTCTTAGGCAAATTCAGGAAGAAGAAGAAGAAGAAAAAGTCATCCTCAGAATGATTACGAAAGTTCTATCTGGTTCAGCTTCCAGAAAAATACCCCTATCATTCCGGAATGGTGACATCGCTATCAAATTCCAAAAAGCACTAGCAACTAAGATACTCCAGAGAGCCTCTGAGATTCCAGAGGGTTTTTCTATTATGGCCCTGCATCCAACCAATATCTGAGCTAATCAACCAATCTAATCCTATCTATATAAATTAAGATCCTTTTCAAAAAGTATTCATCCTATTTATAAGCTAAACACACATTAACTTGTACTTAACTAGTATCTAAGATACTTTCAATTCTAGTTGCTAAACAAATATTATTACGAAGTCAGAGACTACAGCTGTGGAAGTACCAACTGTCTATGAGAGCTTGGGAGATACTGTTAACATTTAGTAAAGCCTGCAATATAGGAGAAAAGACAAGTACTTATCAGAAGAAAAATTATAGCCCCACAGTCAGAAGTTCTCAGGGAGTGGATTAAAACATCTACTCCCCAAGAGCAAGGCCAACCTGGCATTTTGAAGTCACCGTTTTAGGCAGTTTATCGTGTGCTTCTTAGACATATGCTGGCATCTATTCTCTCCTCTTTCTTTGTTTTTAAGATTAAACTCGTAAGCATGATTCATTGCCTGGAAAACTCTGCTGGGGGGATGCTGTTCAGAATATTCTGCATCATAAACATTTCTTTTCTAAAATGTGCAGAGGCTGATCAAACTCATCTGGAATTGTACTCTAAATACTGACGAAATCCTTTCTCATAGCAAGCAAACACAAAAGTTACAAACTACAAAAATGACTATAACACTTCTTGGTAAATGACTCAGGGCCCCAGGCCAACTGCCATTCCTGGCTGCATGAGGAAACCAGGCATGCACTAGTTCTACACTCCCATACCTCATCCGGTAGTGGAGCCGGAGTGACATCTTGTCATCAACAGTGATGATGTGGTTTGGAGCATACCAGAGCTTGGTGTTTTCATTGTACAGGGCAAAGAGGTTGTGGCATAGGGGAGAGATACCTAGGGGAAAAGAGCACATCAGAAAGTTACAGGCAGATGCATTTGGCCATCTGTTTCCAAAGCACAACATATGCAAAGATAAGGAATGTTCTCATCCAGAAAGAATCTAGGCAACCCATATCATCTTAGGGCAAGTACAACTTTTAACCCTGTTCAGTCAGGCAGTTTTAACCATAATAACCATGAACCATGACTCCCCAGGAATATGCACACAACTCCTGACAAACCAAATTAAAGTCATTTAAAATAAATGTTATTATTTCTCCTCATACGTGTCTATGACAGTCTTACCAAATCTTGCTTAAAAGATAAAAAGGCCATCCAAGAGGTTCATAGATCCCACCTGAAGCGCACCATGCTAACCACACTCAAAACATTGTCAGAGTTTAGGAACTCCTCAATCTGTCTCCTACAAAACATGTTTAAAAAATCTAACACGCTGTGATTACATATTAAACATGCAAAGAAGTTCCTGGCAGTGGTGCATAAAATGCATATTAGAATAAATACTAAACAAAGTGATTCTGGCAGTGATTAAAATGTATTACCATTAATAATAAATATACCTTTTAAGTATTATGTACAGTTATCATAAATGCTTTTATTAGTTCTCAACTAGCAAGAAGATACATGCTTAACAAAGCTGGCCAGGAGTGCTTTGCCTCCCTGCCCCATTTCCTGCTTTCTTTAATGATAAGCAGAATGGAAAAGATAAGACAGACTATAAAGCCACTCATTTCTGAGGCCAACCAAAACACAAAGACCCATAATCTAAACAGGTGTACAAGGGGAGGTGAGTGCCAATAATCAATTACTGATATTTTCAGGAACAGTCAGGCTTCAAATTAAGATACAGTGAACTTAAATGACAAAAAAAAAAAAAAAAAAAAAAGGAGAAGATAAGGTAATTGGCACTTGTTTCCCAAATCAGACATCTGAAGTGAGAATGACACTGACAGGGCCCCTCCCTTGCCTTGCAAAGCTAGGCAGGCAATGGATTAAGAAGCTACAGATACCTTTGTATCTCACAGTGTCCTGCTGACATCTCAATTCATGCTGCCAAAAAAGGTGAAAGTTATTCCTTCAGAAGCTATACACTTCTTTATAAACAGGAAAACAGAACTATAAGTAGAATTTTCCCTTGGGAATAAAGACCAATGGCTTTTGGATTCAGTATTACTAGGATTATGTTTCAGCTTTATTATAGGTTTTCACTCATAATTTTTTTTATAGGCTGACCTAGAAATCTAGCCTTTCTTTATATCCATATTGGAATATGAACATAGAATATTTAAAGCCTAATTTATATGTAATCATGGCACTGTCTGTAATTCCTACCCATAACTACCTACAAATGGAGTATCAAAAATACCTTTTTATATCAAAGAACTGAATAACAACAATATTAACATTTACTGAAGGCTACATGTCAGGCACCAGGCTAACATATAATTTATTATCTTTTAATACCCTTGATAAGTATCAATGAGGTATTATTTTTGCCATTATACAGATGAAGAAACTGTGGTTTCCTGAGTTGAGTCTGATCCAAGGTTACTCATTTAGGAACATGAAGAGATGAGATTCAAACCAAGACAGAGCTACTGAGGAGATAAAGGAAGAGAACTTTACCACAGTTAGGTGAAAAACAGGGAAGAAAACAATACTGCCCCCAAAACATCACTTACTGTATTAGCAGTAAGAGCTACAAAAATCTGTAGTGTTCAGTATGCATGTACTTTTAAAATTAAGGCACTTTTGCAATATTCCTGAGTCAGTTACCCCACTCAATCAACTGGGCTTAGTTGCTGATACCCCAATTTACTGACCCAGGGCCCAGAGGTACGGAGATACAGTGGCCGTGCCTAACTCACCTCTAGACTCTCTCCTCTCATCTCCTTCCCCAGCAGGACCTTGGTCACTCCTTAGTTGGAGCCTAGCAATTCTGCAAAAGTGATCCTTACCAACAAACTGAGTGAGGTATATACCTGCAGTGATGGTGGCAAGAAGCATGGCTAAAGGAATAAGCACTACCAACCAAATTTCAAGGGAAAGGAGGTGAGACAGACAAGCAAACAGAAAGCCTTGAAACATGGTAGAAGCACTAATTTACAGCTAAAAGTTCTGGTAAATACAAGCACATTTAAAGCTGCTGATGAAAGCTGTTTACCTGTACATGTTGCTGCCTGCTCAAAAACAACTTCAAAATATGACATTTTCCTACTACCCTATCTACTTCAGCCCACTTTATCCTATGTCATGTTTAGGATAAAAAAAATTCACGCTACACTCCTCCCTGCAGCACAAACCTCTCCCCACTGTTTTGGTGCACTGGTATATAAAGCACTTCAGGAAAAGAGATAGGAATAAAATGGGGTTTCTAACAAGATGCATTACTAACAAGGCAGGTGATCCCAGAAATAACTGCACTATCCACACAATGCTATTCCGGGGGCTACGGCATAAGTGAAGCCTGGCTCCGGCTGTCTGCCATCACAGTCAGTTACTTCATCATAAAACCGCTTTATTGAGGGAAGGGGGGAGAGGGTGGGGGAGGGGGCAGGGGGAGAAATGACCCAAACAATGTATGCACATGTGAATAAATGAATAATAAAAAAACAAATAAAACAGCTTTATTGAAATACAATTAATATACCATAAAACCAACCTCTTTTAAATGTATAATTCAATGAATGTTAGTATATTTACTAAATTTTACAACCATCACCACAACCTAAGTTTCTATGATTTTACTTGTCATTTAAAATTAGTTAGGTAAAGACTGCCCATGTCAACTTCAAAGGATAATGAAAGGAGTTTTAGTTTGTCAGGAGCTTTGGTTTCTCACCTTCAGAGGGTGATGGACTAACCTGAAGTAAGACAAGCCTCATTTTCTTAAAAAAACAGACTACGTTGTTAACAACCTGGCTGTCCTATTCACAAAATGACAACTCAACCAAGCCACAAGCAACACTCAGCTTCTCACTTTAACCCAACACCACACAGGAAGGGCAGGCCATGGCCAAATGGCAGAGTTTGAATAATCCCTAATATACTGAGAGATGCTGCTTGTTGAGCTTGTACTTTGTGCTAGGTGCTTTACAGACCACCTCATCTGGAGCTGATGTCATCCAACTGTATAGATGTGGGAGAAATAAGAACTGAGCCTCAGTCTATTGTGGCAATGCACACCTGTAATCCCAGAACTTGGTACAAGATCTCAAATTCGAGGCCAACCTGGGCTACATTGCAAGATCCTGTCTCAAAGAGTCAAAAGAGGAAAAGGAGAAGGAAGAAGGGAAGAAGAAGGAGGAGGAGAGGGAGAAGGAAGGAAGAAGGAGAAAGAAAAGGGAGAGAGGAAGAGAAGGGGAAGGAAGAGGGAGAAGGAGAGGAGGAGGAGGAACAGGAGAAAGAACTCCGCCTCCACTGAAGGGAAGTATCATTCTCTTGTATTCTATAGCCTATTGGTGATAACAACACTTTGCATTGGCCAAGGATCAAGTACAAGTAAATGGTAGAGGCACAGATAAGTCAGAATCCTAACTCCCAGAGCCCACACCTTTCTGCAAAGCAGCACTAAGAAGGGCAGAGACAACAGATCTGCTCAGTCTCCTGAGCCCTGCTGCAGGTACTCACAGCATCCTGCGCAGCCCTGATGCATAGCTCCTCTGCTGTGTATTCTCCACTGCCCAGTCGGAGGGGCTCCCTGTCCAACAGATAGAATGTCACTTCCACTCCTGGCTCAGGGACCACCTGATTCACCTCAGTTTTCTTGGAGCTCCGCATTTTAGCACAGAAAGCCATGGCATTGCAGTCCTCTTTTATATTTAGATACTGTGTAAGGAGAAAAAAAGATGATGTGGTCATTCTATGTACTAAAAGTTCAAATGGCAAAGAGAGTGCTGTGAAGGTAAGCAACCACAAATACTTGATTTTGGATAAGTACTTCTCCTGCTCCTTCCCTTACTGAAAATCAAACACATCAGAGCTTGTAAGAAATGAAACTATGGAAATAATTAATTATGCATATTGATCAATTAACTTCAGACCATCAGGATAATCTTAGATATGACTTATATTTATTTTCTGTATTTGTACACCTGTGGTAGCTGGAAAATGTGGTCTATTCTGGGAACCAATGATGTTAAAGGACTGATTCATAATTATTAACATAGCTACCTCTGCTGGAACCACCTAACTTCTAAGAATCATAGTCTTTCAATTTTATGACTTTTCCTACTACAGATTAAGCTTGGTGAGGCATCTCTATCTTCACACCTCCATCTGATACAGTGCACAAAAATGACAACCTATGCACATTCATAAATCACTTGGAAGGGCCAGGAAAGATAAGGGATGGGGCTGGGTCCCTATCACCCTGCAGGCAAGCAGGAGAATGGGCAGCAACTCATGCCAGCAGAAAGAGAATGGGAAGCCTGGCTGTGGAAAGGTTAGGATGCATTTCAGTAAGTCACTCTTATAGCCCTCAAAAGGGAGGGGAACTAGGACCAAAGAAGGGCAAGCCTTGCTTCTTTCCTCTCCTTTCCCCAACACCCATGCCCACAAACTAATTTCCCTGTGCTCATGCTATTGTTTTCTTCCTGTTCTGCCATACCAACCTTCACTGAACCCAAAGTAATATCCCTGTAACCCATATCAGATCCTCTACTGATTTCCCTTTAATCTACAGACCAGATTAAAAGTTTCAGATTTCAAACTCTGAAACTGAGACCCTTCCTCTCCTGGCTGGGCCAGCTGGCCTCACTTGCCTTATAGCCTGTCACTCCCCACTTCTTACTTCATGCTTGAAACCCGTAAGGATGACAGCACTCTTGTTCTTCCCCATCCCAAAGCTGTTTCTACCCTCTTGCCTTCACTCATGTTGTTTCCTCTACAGGAGTGCCATCCCCTTATCCTTCACACGACAAACTTCAACCTTCTTTAGAACTCAGGCCACATAGCACCTCTTACCCAGGAAGTCTTCACTGAACCTGAGTTCTACTCCTAAGTTGAATGCTCTCTCTGTTGTGCTCACAAACTCATCACACTGAAAAACAACCATCTTTATTCATACACCTATTCATCTCTTACTTGCTCACATATGCTGTGAGTTCTCTGAAGACAAAAACTGTGGCATTTATCTTTGTGTCCTAGTATGAAGCATACAGGTTCATGTTGGTGGTAGCTCCTGGGGCGACCCAAGGAAGACCCAAGACAAGAAAAGTCATATGGGGCAGACAGTAATCAGTTCTCTTTGCCAAGTCCATTTGCTGGGTTTATTAACTGTCCTGGTGAGGGGATGTGAAATGCTTAAAAGAGGAACATGAACCAGATATGCTTCAGTGCTACAAAATGAGAGGCCTTCAATTTTAATTGCTTAATTTCCAAAATAAATCTGAAAACCAGAATCTTCTGAAAATCAGGCTGAAAAGACTAAGCTTGTAACATACTTCACTGTTCAGATCAGCAGGCAAGACCAATTTTAAAGCCCAGCATTTAGACCTCAACTCCATGCCACATTAAAAAAAATTGAGGTGGAAAATACAGTAGTTAAAAGCTTGCTTTATACTGCAAGAAAACATTTGTTTGGGGATTCTTTAAAGACAGGACAAAGGAAGAGTTCAAAGACGGTGTCACACTCCTTAACTCTAAGGAAACACAAGGCAAGTGTACATAATTACATGTGTACAAGGTTTGGCACTGTTAGGAATAGGAAGAAAGACAACTGACATATCTGACATATCTGTTATGGCATCAACACTGAATGATGTCCATGGTACCCTGTAAAATGAAAAAAAGCATAACAAGATAATATACTTCTTATATTATCTGAGTTATGAATATGCATATTAAAATCCAGAACACAATAAATTGTTAATTGTGGTGAATATCTAGGAGAGACTGAAGGAACTTTAACTTTGACTCTCTACTTCATGTGCTCTTGCACTTCTGAGATTTAAAAAAAAAAAAAGCACACTTAATAAGACACTAATTTTTTTTCAATTAAAGTCAATAGCACAGGTAGACCCTTCAGTTCAAGAACAAAGATTGGTTTTTTTAAACATACACAAATCTTAGCCAAGCATGGCAGTGCACACCTGGAATCCCAGCACTCAGGACGCTGAAGCAGGAGTATCACCAGTTCAAGGCCAGCCTGGGCTACATAGTAAGACCCTGTCACACACACACAAAAAGAAAATCTGTATACCTGCATTTATTCCGCTGTCCAACTTCCCACAAAAAGCAGACTGGTTTTTCTTCTTTACTTTTCAAAATCCATTCAGAGCTGAGTTAAAGAGAAAAATCAATAAATAAGTTTAGAGGTAACTAGATCTGAAATAAGAATACACTTTCATTATGGAAACAGCCAAACCTAAACAGACAGGAAAAAGCATCTGGAAGGGGTAGAGGACTGATGAGGACATTAAGAGACATCTTCAGCTGTAAACATCAAAGTGGATATGACTTTCATTGCTCTGAGAAAGGAAGCAAGGAATTTTTACTTTCTGTCCAAACTAAGTGAAGACTGTGCCTTTTTTCACTAATAGTCCCTCTCCTGACACCAGGACTAGGAGGACACCAAAAATGTGTACTTTTACAAAGAGATTACTTTGCAAAGAAGGAGCTGCCACCATTGTGATTCAAAATTGGTTTCCAAATCAATCAGATACTATCTCAATTTTCTGTCCCATCATTCAACACATTTTATTAGAATCTGGTTTTAGGAAGAGCACAGTCCCAGGTACTACATGACTGAGCAGAGGGGGGAGCAGAAAAGAGAGAAGGGCAGTTAGCTCTGAGGCTGGCAGGCAGCATTGCACAGGGCCTTACAGTTAAGGTGGGAGGTAGCACCAATGAAAACACGAACGCACCTAATATCAAGAGTGAGTACAGCACAATGTTATCTTCTGTGCCTCTCACTACCTCTGGTGTCGCTGCAAGAGCCAGTTGGGGAGGCTTTCTGCAGTGGGTGAGACCTTAGCAAAATTAATGACAGTAGGCCAGGTAAGAGATGCAAGTGTGAATTCTGATGTGAAGACTTTGATTTGGCTGTTGTAATGGGAATAATTTTTAAAAGATTCAATGAACAAGTAATTATACCTTTAGCTTTTTAAAAATTAATATAAGCAATTGCTCAAATTATGTGAACATTATGACCTATATGAAAACAACAATTAGAAATTAGCTGAATGCTAATGCCTTGCTTTGGCTCATAGGAAGGGTCCCAAATGCCACATTTAGGAGATTCTTCCATTCAACAAGTGCTCTCCATATCAGAAACTGAACTAGATGAACAGGCCACAACAAAGAAAAAGATCAATAATGGTCCCTGCCCACGTGGAGCTTATAGACTACAGGAGCAACAGAATCAAACAGAGAAGCACAGACACCTAACTAGAAAAGCCATGAAGGGAAAACAGAGAATACAACAGAGGCAGTCTGGGGCTCAGAAGAACAGTAATATGGCACTAAGATGTGATGGATGCCTTGGAAGGTAGGCACAAGTCAAAGTGAAAGCAGTCTGAACAAAAGGATCTGCGTGTACAAAGGCAGAGGGAAAGAACTAGACTGGGGAAACCTACAACACTCTTCTTAAAAGGTACACACAGACCAGCACTAGCTGACTCACAGACAGTACTTGCTAAGAGCATGTCTGGGGCCTTTCTACCCCACGTTTAGCCACAGTGCACCAGTACCTACTGTCGCCAAGAACGATCAAAAAATTGACCAGAGAATGCTCTGCTTTGGATCATGAAGAAGCCTGTCCCGAATCAGGAAAAGGACATCGATTCAGAACCTTTTAGGGCAGGAAGAAACCTACAAATCCCACAGGCCTGGCTCCTTTCAGAAGGGCAACCACATTAAGCCTTTTTAGTACTTACACAAAGCTTTTTAATATGCACTATCATACCATGTGTTACTAAGCTTAGAAGTCAGAGTTTATCTGTAAAACCTCATGTAAATTCAAGGTTTAGACTAAAATCAAGATTCTTCTAGAACCAGGTAAGCAAAGAGACTTGGCTTCCCATCACCCATTCTCTACTGCAAGCAACATTATATTACACCTTATTTATTTATTTATTTATTTATTTATTGTGGTACTGGGGCTTGAACTCAGGCCCTATACCTTGAGCTACTCCACCAGCCCTTTTTTTTTAATTTTTTTTTTTTTGAGATAAGTCTCTTGTGAGCTATTGCTCAGAATGGCATCAAACTGTTATCCTCCTAATCTCTGACTTCTGATCAGCTAGGATTACAGGCATGAGCCACCAGCACCCAGCTATTACATCTAATTTTAGTCTCTAATATTGCTGGACAGGACAGTAATCTGGTACAGATTTGTGATGCCTACCTTTAAACTCTGAGAAAACAAGATTAGCAATAGGATTCTTAGACAATATGCATTTATTATGATGTCTTTATATGCTGATTTAATACAATAAAATCCCTGTTCTTGGGGAACTGACATTCTAATGATAAAAAATAAAAAACATCCACACAGCACTTAAAAGACATGCCAGGATCTATTCTAAGCAGTTTAAACCCAGTAATGTAGATCCATTTTATAAGAAATGACAACTGTTCTCATTCAGAATGATAAATGTTTTTCAGTGCTACAGCATTTGTGTAATGGCCTCATCCAAATAGCATTTCAAAATAAGCCAGATGACATGCCTTAGCTGATAACTTTTAGAGCAAGTAGAAAAAGGAGCAAGATCAGTTTATAAACACTTTCGGTAATTCCAAGAAAACAATTAAAGTTTCTTACTACAAGATGCAAAAGGAAAGTTTCCAATACTAGAAACACAGACCAGTAGGAATCAACCCACAGCATGATTCACTGTGGGATTTGATTCCCAACTTGAATAAAAGTACCTTAGGAAATGAGAAAAACAGAGTAGCAATCAAAAGCTTTTTGATGAAAGCAGTGACTTTTTCCACTTTATAAAGCTATCAAGGATTTGAAAGAAAATATCTTTTACTTTTGTGGCTCAATTTTGCAGATATTGCTTATTTAAGGGGAAAAAATCAGAAATGAATACATTTCTCAATTTCTTTATCACATGAATGCAAATGGCTAGCACATCTGATAGTTTCTGAACGGCAGAAAAATAAAAGAAACAAAACAGTTCTGTGAGTTGGGACACAGCCTAACAGCAATAAATAGTATATCACAAATATTTCCAAAGAGTAAAAATCCCAGAAATCTTTCTCTGAAGATTCCAAAACTCTTAAATTTCCAAAGATAACTTTTGAAATACTAGTATTGGTGCCAGGGAAGAACAGACAATCCAATTCTGAATAGTGGAAAAAAGACAAAATTATACCATTTTAACATTCACTAATACAACCTTCAAAATGTGGCTACTTTGGACCAAAGACCACACTATCTGATTTATATGGTAATAACAGACTGGATACAGTTAAAATCAGTGATAAAAATCAAAATAAAACATTATCGGCATCTGATTATTTTCACTAACAATACCATCTCAACTACAGTGAGTTATTTCACATATGACTTAAAGAGGTCAAAGTCTGATTTCTGAAGTAGAAAATACAAATAAAATGTTGATGAAATGAACTCAGAAAAACTGAAAAGAAAAATGTATTATAATTTTGAAAATCTCCTGAAATGGGCTGCTTACTAACTTAAGAAATTTTGAAACTGTAGATCTTAAACTGTAAAAAACAGTTTCAGCAAGCACCAACTAAGGCAATGATGGCTTTTTGCTTCTTCTGCTTAGTGCTTTACTCTCAGCACACAGTAAGTGATAACACAGTTACGAAGATGTTACATGGAGGATGAAGGTAACAAAGTACCTAAGACTATGCAATGGGAAAAAAGCCCACTGCAACCAGACTGTGAGTTCTCCCTGACTTGGTAAGACAGTTAGCAAGTGGGATCATGAACAAGTCATTTTCATCGCAGAGCCTCAATTTCCCCACTCATTAACCTGAGAGGAGCATCAAAGAGTTCCTCCAAAGAGCTGGCATAACGACCAGAAAAAATCTTTCCCTAAGTCTTCATCAAGCACTTTATACATGCCTTTTCCAAGAAGCTGTAGATGTGAAAGCAATCAAAGAGGTATCAAATGCTGCAGCAATGTAACGGACTATGGTAGAGGACTAATGTGGGCTGTGAACCTGCTTGGAAGAACAAGAGAATAAATGGGGTTTCTGAGCAGACACTGGTCACACATCAAAGTCCCATTTCTTGACAAAACAGACCAGTTAAGAGCATGGCTGGAGTCCTACTGACCTGGTTTTGAATGCTGGCTTCCCCATCTACTAGCTGCTGTAGTCAGGCAAATTTACATCCCCAAACCTCAATGTTCTCAGTGTAAGAAGAAGTCAAAAATAGAATTTACTCACAGGACTGTCAAGAGTTAAAAGAGTTAATGCATAGAAAGAACCCAGAGTTCAGCATGCAGAAGCACTGCTATGTGGACCATAATTCCTGTTAAACCGACTACAGCTTGATGCAATACAGTTCTATTCAAGGCACAGGAACCTCGCTAGTACTAACCCTCTTCACATCGCATGTACTTAATTCTCATACAAAGCCTAAGAGGTCTGGGGCTAAATCAGTGAGAGTGCCAGATGTACAACACGTGACTCCTGATTCAAAGACTCTGCTTTTCCAGACGAGAAAACAGTCTTAAAATCACCAGCACCATTGTCTTCCCTGGGTTTTCAGTACTTTTCATAGTCTAACATGCACCTAGAAAACTGATCTCATTCCAACACCCTTCCCTCCAGAGACTAAAAGAGCTGTCATTTTAAGAAATCACAAAAGTGCCCCACCTTGTCTGCGCTGTAGCCCACAACTATTCTCTACCAACACTCTGCAGGGGTGGGAGAGTTCGGGTGGCTCCCAGCCACAGGCCTGCCTGGTGTGGACCCGGAAAGCTGCTGCTTCTCTTCCTGCTGCGTTGCCAATGGCTCCACACCCACAGAGCCACAGAAATGACTTGTGTCTCTTGCTCCCAGACCCCACTACTGTGCTAAGACCTGGGATAATAGTTCTGATGAACACATCACAAGAACTGTAAAGCTGATGGAGTCTAGCCAGAACGATGACATAATATAAATACAAAGTCAGCAAGCCAGAATTATGGCTTTTCTATATGCCCTCCTGCCACACAGAATAACTCACTTCTAACTAAAGCAGCAATTCCAGGAATACCCCAGAATCGCAAATGCTGCTTCATTTACAATAAACTTCTAGGTACGATCAAACAATCAATGCCATGTCCATTGTTCAGGGCTCTCTGCTCTGTT